TCAATATGATTATGAGTATCAATATTAATATGAGTATCAGTATTAATATTAGATTTAATATCAATATGACTATCAACATCAGTATCAGTATCAGTATCAACATCAGTGTCAGTGTCAGTATCAGTATCAATTTCAATATCAATATCAGTATTTGCATCAGTATCAGTATCATTATCAATATCAGTATCAGTATCAGTATCAGTATCAGTAAGTATCAGTATCAGTATCAGTATCAGTAAGTATCAGTATAGCTTGTTTATTTATCTACTCTAATAGAATTTTCCTCAGGAGTAGAAATTCTTACCTTCAACACCTTGTTTTCCTCTATTAGAACATGCTTATCCTTTTGAAGACATTTATTTACCTCAGATACTTCGAGCCACTTCTGGTACATTTTTTCATATGTATTTTTAATCTCTTCTAGGGTGGGCTCTTCATCATCACTACTGCTCTCAAAGTTACCTGCAAAAATAAATGATGAAGTCGGACTCTTGTTCTTATCTGAAGATAATTCATCATACCTGAGTTCTGTTTGACAGACTGTTGCAACAGTTCCCTCGGTTCTGCTCATCGAAGAAGTACCACTGAATGCTACAAAGTTAGTGGTTTGGTCTTCTTTGTTATTCTCATCCTCATCACTGTTATTTTTATCACTTCAAACAGTGGTAAGAAAAATGCCCCCACATATTTGTAATTACCAAAATCCCCTGATGTTTGTTTCCGTCTTACGTCGACCCCCTTATGGTATGATTTTGCAATGAATTTTTTATGTGGAATATTCCCCGAAAAATGTTGATATATACCCTGCACACGCGACATTTCTTTATGGTACTTTTTAAAGACAAAAATGACCATCATGGGACTTTACATGAAATCTTTAATCTTCTTAAATAACACTTTCACAAATTTTTATTATTACCATGACCATCTCTGAGGGTAATTTTTGTATTTAAAAAGTACGAGTCCATATTTTTTGAGATATGACATGGAATAAAAAATATTTCGTAAAAAATCACACCATAAGGGGGTCGTGTAAGACAGAAAACAAACATCAGGGGGATTTTGGTAATCACCGATAAGTGGGGGTGTTTTCTGTAATTTAGCCTAAGTTCAGGAGGATTTTCATAATTTATCTTATTAACAACGATTATTGTTATTTTACGTCTTAACGTTTTCTTATACGCTTATAATATTTTAAATAATTTTAATGTCAGTTTGATGATATAATTAAATATTAATTTCTAATATATTTAATATGTGTTTTTTGATACTTGAGCTATCACACATAAGAAATTTGATATAAAGGTTCGAGATTGAATAAAATTGTTTTTTTAAAAAAAAAAATAATAGATCATTGGAATAAAAAAATATTGATGCAAAATCATAATTTGTGATTAATATTAGCATTAGCATTAGATTTATAATTAATATTTTTTGAATTAGTATTAGTATTAATAATAGAAATAGGATTCAGATTGTAATTATGATTAATATAATATTATAATTAATATTAGGATTATAATTAATATTAGTATTAGAATTATAATAAAAATTAGAATTATAATTAGTATTAGTATTAGTATTAGTGTAAGTACGACTATTGATATTAGTATTACTTTTAGTAATAATATTAGTATTAGTACAAATATTAGTATTAATATCAGTATAAGTATCCGTATCAATATTAGTAGAGTAAAAAGCAGTTTACCCCCTAAACTATAGCCCGTTTTGCACTTTACCCCCCAAACAAAAAATTTTTGCACGTTTTTACCTAAACTTCGGTTTTCGTTGCACGGTGCCTTAAAAAGGGAATATTCCGGGCATTTTTGCCGGAATCCCACACATGTGCATTTCACGTGATTTTTCTAAGGGTAAAACCGTCTCATCACTTAAAAACTAACCTAGGGCTGTATTTCCCCCCTTTTCCTCTCCCGTTTGTCCAATTTTCCCTCCAAAATTAAGAGCTTCTCCTTCTTCTTTATACCTGCTGTGCTCCAAATCTTATAGCCCTCTTCCCATCCGTTTTTTTGTCTTCTCTCACAGACGAAAATCACTTAGAAATTATTGTCTTTTTTTTTTTTCCTGTCGTCTCTCACAAACGAAAGCAATCTGTGAGAGAATGGAAGCAACGTGTTATTGTTCGAGAAGGGTAGTCACAAGAACTTCCTGGACTGATTTAAATCCAGGAAGGAGATTTTCGACATGTGATAACTACAAGGTATGGTTGTTTTGATCTTGTTATGTTGTTTATAATTATAGATAATTAACTACTAATTATTATGTTGAATTTTTTTTTTTCAGAAAATTCGAGGCTGTAACTACTTTGTGTGGATTGACCCCCCGATGTGTGACAGATCTCGTCAAATTATTCCTGGGCTGCTTCGGAAAATTAACATGCGTGAAGAGGAGTTGATGAAGAAGAGTTCAAGGGAAAAGTGCCTGTGGATTGCAGTGATAATCTCATGGTTGTTTGTGTATCTCCTTATATAATATGTCTGTGTTCTTGAAATTAAAATATTTATTTCTGTATCTTGAAAATCTGTGTTCTTGAGATTAAGATATTTTGGAGTTTTTGATTTTTTATGTAGTGAGTTGTGTTCTATTGTTCTTGTGTCTCTGTTTTTCAAAAAACAGATTGTGTAGTGTAATTTCATCTTTATGTAATGAAATCAATGGCTATTGTGATGTGGTTTATTCATCTTAATGTACTCTTTATGTAATGAAGTCAATGGCTATTGTGATTTGGTTTGTCAATGTAAGAACAAACATAAATAAATGTACCAATGTACTGTGATGTTATTCACAACAAGCATAAACATATTCACAACAAACTATTAGATAATCAACTTCTTCATTAATATCAAAACAAAAAAGTTGTCTTCAATACAGTTCTCAAAAAGACTTCCAAAAAAACTTCCAAAAAAACTTCTGAAATACAATTTTCAAAAAAGACAGACTAACAATACCAAAATAGCAAATACCAAAACAAAAAGGAGTTGCCAGCATTACAACTATCTTGAATTACAAATTTTTTAACAAAAATTTTCTGGAAATGTGGTGGTGCAGTTCACTTTGTAGACTTGCTGAAAGGGTGCTGTTTACAGTTGTTTGTGATAGCTGGCTACTAGGTGTTCTTGGCACTCTTGAAGTTTGACTGGCCACCATAGGTTCTTTGCCCTTCCATGTTCTTGGAACCTTCAGTTGCTCAACCACCATAGGTTCTTTGCTCTTTTTTGATTTTGGAACCACCTAAAGTACAAAAAATAAAATAAAAACAACAATATGTTCAGAAGCTTTGTTTTAACCAAGGATTTAAAAATCAAATCTTTTACCTCTTCTGGAATGCTTTTTTTCTTCCCTTTCCTAACTGGTAATTTCTGTCTTTTACTCACAGTCTCATCAGTTTGTTTTGAAGTTTCTTCAGCTTCATTAATCAAGCTCTGATATACAGCCTCAATTTCCTGGCTCAAGGTATCATCATCCATCTGCAATTATCAAAATATAGAATATAATTCATACTCACATTTATCAAAAATTCATTAAAGCTATTATACTAACCACTGGTGTTTCAGACACTTGATTGGGTATTTTTTCCTTGCCCTTCTTTGATTGCTTCCTCTGCAAATTCACAAAAGAAAAGAACATAAGAACCTTACAATAGAAATAAGATTATAAACAAAAACCATAGACATGTACCTTTCTTTTGTTATTTGCAGCACCACTAGTGGTGCCTTGCTCACTTGGTTGCCTTAATGGACAACCTCTTGCATTATGTTTCTTCTGGTGACACAAACTGCAAGTCATTATCACTCCTTGCCTCCCCAACTTTCCAATTGTTGTTATATTCTTGCAAACAGGAGCTGGTATATCCCTGGACCCTTCACCTGGCTGTTTTCTTCTATTGTGCATCTTTGGTCTACCTGGCATGCTCTCAATGTCTGGAGGAAGTAGTTTACTTTTGCCAGAATTAGGCCAAGACTCATTACCCTCCATAGCATTCATCAAGTGACTGTAGATTGCCATGTATTTGTCTTTCTTGTACCAGCCTTCAACATAATCCTCAGGTGTGTATCCCATGAAATACATGCTTGAAATAGCATGTGCACATGGGATTCCAGTTAGTTGCCATCTTCTACAGCTGCAGCTATTATCCCCAAGGTGGACTTTGAACTTCTCCCCATAACAGCTCTCCACCTCAAACTGATCCTTGCCATTCCAATGAGCTATGTAGTCCATAGACTTCTTCTTCAAATCATCTAACTGCCTCTGAATGTTAGGACAAATATCACCACTGTATTTGGCCATCTTGTCTCTTTTCAGATGAATCCTCTTCATTAAGATCATTCTGATAGCTTCCAGCATGTCAATGATAGGTAAACTCCTAGCCCTTCCAATCATTGCATTAAAACTTTCACACATGTTGTTCAGTAACACATCACACTTGGAGTTTGTGTTGAAATAAGACCTAGACCAATGTGCTGCAGGCCTCTTAGCAAGCCATTTGAAGGCTGATTTGTCCTTCTCACCCAGTTCCCTCATCACCCTTTCAAAATCCACAATCCTAGAAGCTCTGGCAGCTTTCCACAAAATATTTTTTAGAGCTAAGCCTCTATGTGACAACTTAAAGTTACTGTATAAGTGCATCACACAGAATCTATGCTCTGAAAATGGCAGCAACAACTCTACAGCATCAATGAAACCCTAGAAAAACGAAAGGGGGATAATTTCAGAGAAATATTGAAGTGTTAATCGAGTCAGTGAAAGAAAACCGAAATACAGCCCTTGTTTAATTTTGAAGTGATGAGACGGTTTTACCCTTGGAAAAATCACGTGAAAGGCACGTGTGTGGGATTCCGGCAAAAATGCCCTGAATATTCCCTTTTTAAGGCACCGTGCAACGAAAACCGAAGTTTAGGTAAAAACGTGCAAAAATTTTTTGTTTGGGGGGTAAAGTGCAAAACGGGCTATAGTTTAGGGGGTAAACTGCTTTTTACTCTTATATATATATCCGGTTTTGCAAGTTGCTAATTCCCGTGCTGAAGTTAAAGATGATAGTTTTCGGGCTTCGAATAACAGAGGAACAAGATTATTAGATTAATATGTGTTTTTCTTATTTCATTCTTGAATGTAATATTATATATTATTTTTTGTTCAAATCTTTCTTTCTTGTAGGCTGCTGTGTATATATGTACTAATATTTTTATTTTATTTTGAAAGGAAAATGTTATTGGATAAAATTTGACACGTTTTAAATTTAAACCAGCCCAATCAATCCACACAACCACACTGTTCAGACAGCCCATATTTGAACCTTTGATTTTTTTTAGGATAAATTACGGTCAACCCCCTAAGGTAAAGTCAAATTACGAAAAGATCTCTCTTGTTTTGGTAATTACAATCACCCCCTCAGCTATGAATTTTCTTACACGTCTACCCTTATAGTGTCAAATTCTACATAAATTTTTAGAGTTCGTGGAATGTTCTCTAATTTGTACTCGTTTTGTGCAAAAATGAAGTTTCAGATGCACTGCAATATTATATTTACAACTTACAAGGTAAGAGACACATCTTGTAATCATCTTGATTCAAAATGTGAAGCTAGAATGGAGTAAAATGGGTACAAACTGGAGAATATTTCACATAATCTAGAAGATATCACTAAATTGCACACTGCAACAGTGGACATGTAAGAACTAAGAAGATTCGTAGTTGAGGGGCTAATTGTAATTATCCAAACATACGGGATTTTTTCGTAGTTTACCCAAATTTAAAAGAAATATTTATTGGACACGTCTTAAATTTACGCTAGCCCAATCTGTAGACAGCCCCATATTTGAACCTTAATATTTTTAGACCAGAATCTTAAATTGACCAATCTGTAGCAGCCTAATATTTTCTTTGACTGCTACCAACAAAAAAAAATAAAAAAATAATAATAATAAAAAATCTTGACTGAAATAGAAGTATCTGCCATAATGATAGAATAAACGCCTACCATTCACCACATACGCCAACTTTCCATGATAATTAAATCAAGGGTAAATTACAAACACCCCTGAGGTATGGTCAAATTACAAAAACACCCCTCTTGTTTGGATAATTACAACCACCCCCTCAATTCCTCAAATTTAGTGGAATCTTCGAGATTATATGGAATATTATCACTTTTGTACCCGTTTTATCCCATTCAAACTCTACATTATGAAGCAAGATGATCATAATATGTGATTTTTAGCTTGTATATATCAGTTTGTGGTGCATCGGAAACTGTATTTTTTACACAAAACGAGTACAAACTAGAGCGCATTTCACGGAATCTAGATGACTATGTTGAATTTGGCACCATAAAGGTGGAGGTCTAAGAAAAAATCATAGTTGAGGGGTAGATGTAATTATCCAAACAAGAGGGGAATTTTTGTAATTTGACCATACCTCAGGGGGTTTTTTGTAATTTACCCTTATTACGTGGAAATAATAAATCGCTAGACGACAAAATATATAAAATTGGGCGTCCATTCAGCACACCGAGAAGTCGTTATTCTTGGTTTCAATCACATCAAATTCAAAAAAAAAATTCAGATAAGAAGAAATGCTGACTACTGATTGCTAAATACGTGTTTCTCTTGTCCAATAAAAATAATTAAGATTTAGGTATTTCTTGTTCTTACACAAACTTTCTTATATCATATTTTTTCGATCTTAGTGTTTTTATTACAATAATTTTCACTTTTTGCAGTTCTTAGAAAACCATGACGACAACAAAGGGGCAGAAGAAATCGAAGAACCCGTCGCGAAAGTCGAAAAAGGACGCGGTTTCCCTAACGATAAATGACGAAAAAGCCCCTCTCTTGATGCCGAAGAATAAGGCGGCAGAAGAAGAGCATCAAGAATTCAACGGGGCTTCGTTCACCGGAGCGGTTTTCAACTTGTCGACCACCATTATTGGTGCCGGGATAATGGCTTTGCCGGCAACTATGAAAGTGTTGGGGCTCGGGCTTGGAATTGCGGCCATAGTGTTTGTTGCGGTCCTAACGGAATATTCCGTCGGGTTGTTGTTGAGGTTTAGTAAAGCGGGTGGGGCCCGCTCTTACGGGGGCGTTATGGGGGGCGCGTTTGGGGTCGGGGGTAAAAGGGTCTTGCAAGTTTGTGTGGCGATCAATAATATTGGTGTGCTTGTTGTTTACATGATCATAATTGGTATTTTCTTTTAATTATTTTTTTTTAAATCTTGATTGTGAACTATCTTTTTTTTTTTTTTTAATAATTTTAATTTTGGATTAAATTGTGAATTAGGTGATGTGTTATCTGGATCAACTGCAAATGGGGTTCATCATGCTGGTGTATTGGAGGGGTGGTTTGGGGAACAATGGTGGAATAAGCGTTTCTTTGTTCTTGTTTTGACAACTCTTTGTGTCTTTACTCCGTTGGCCTGTCTCAAACGCATCGGTAAGGCGCTCTACTATTGAAATTTATCGAATCGAAATTAATTTTTGAATTTTTTTTTTATTATTGATATTTGAGTATCTGTATAATATGGTTGTAGAATCGAAATTCGATCCTTCTTGTTACCGGTCTCTAAGTCGAGCTGATAAGTAGAAAACGAACGTGTAAATACAATTGTTTGTAAATTAATCAGCTCCGATTGATCAAAACTTAATTGTCATAAGTGCCGTAAATTTAATTCCTTTAAAGTAGATATGATCCACGATTTTTAATTATTTCTGATATTACTTAAATGTAATGTGGAAATCCAATTCAAACATTTCCTACTTTGGAACAATATCTTTTTATTCTGAATTTCGAAAGTTCTGATTCCCACTTTTTTTCATAATTAACTGCACTCGAATCCTTATTAAATTTTGATTTTCAATCCGACTTAATTTTCGAAAAAAAAAACATTTGATTTTTTTTTCTTCCGAAAATTATGCTTATAATATTAATCATATTATATAATTTTGCCCATTCGATCCGAAAATTTCTGATCTTTGAACAAGTTTTTTCATTCCAATTTTTCATTTCTCCATTATTTTTCCGAACATAATTGGAATTAGTTCTTCACTTTCGAAAAAAAAATTAGATTTTTTATGAAAGTGCTAATTCCGATCCGATACATCCGATTTTCACCCCACGATTCCTTTTCTCTGCAGATTCATTGAGACACACATCTGCACTGGCAGTATTTCTTGCATTCGTCTTCCTCTTCATCACAGCCGGCATCTTCACCGTAAAATGGCTAAACGGAACCACCACAATGCCAAGATTTCTCCCAAACGCCGCCGCGACCGACATCAACTCAATCTGGCAACTCTTCACCGTCGTCCCCGTTCTCGTCACAGCATACGTCTGCCATTTCAACGGTAACTTCAAAAAATAATAAATGATAAATTACGGCAACCCCAAGGTAAGGTCAAATTACGAAAAAAAACCCTCAAGTTTGGGTAATTACAATGATCCATCAACTATGAATTTTCTTACACGTCCAAATAATTTAAAAGATTCCACTACATTTGACACTGCAAGGGTGGACACTAAAGATGATTCATAGTTGATGAGTGGTTGTAATTATCCAAACATGATGGGTTATTTTCGTAATTTGAGCTTACCTCAGGTGTTGCCTGTAATTTACCCAATAATAAATAAAAAAATAAAATTTTCTTTATCCACAGTGCACAGCATAGAAAACGAGCTGGAAGATCCATCGAGAATAAAATCAGTGGTCAGAACTTCATTAACACTTTGCTCAATTACTTACATAATGACCAGTTTCTTCGGCTACCTTCTATTTGGGGATTCAACCCTAGACGATGTTTTATCCAATTTCGACACGAATCTCGGAATCCCGTTCAGTTCTCAGCTAAACGACGCCGTACGTGTCAGCTACGCGCTTCACCTGATGCTTGTTTTTCCGGTGATATTTTTCCCCCTTCGCCAGAATTTGGATGGGCTTATTTTTCCATCTTTGCCCTCGTTAGCTACGGATAATTTGAGGTTTGGGATGCTGACAGCTGGGCTGATTTCTGTTGTATTTTTGGGTGCGAATTTTATTCCGAGTATCTGGGACGCCTTTCAGTTCACCGGTGCTACTGCTGCTGTTTGCATTGGATTCATTTTCCCTGCTTCCATTGTTTTAAGGTAATGTCTTTTTTTTCTTTTTTTTTTTTTTTTTTTTGGTGTGTTTGGCGGGGAAAATACAAGTTTATTGCAAATTAGTGCCCATGTGTTTTATCGAATTGCTGAAAAACTACGCCATATTATTTTATTGGCAAAAATACCCTATGATTTTTTTTTCTTAGCAATTATTACCTTGTTTAGGGAGGTCATTGAGATGCCACATCCGGTCAAATACACCATTGAATAACTTTTCACTAAACACACATACACACATACATAAGGATGTATGTGTGATTATATTTAGATCAGTGGTTTATAATGCTTTAGTGTATTTGATCGGGTTTAGTATCAAATACACCGTTTAGAAGTTGTGTGCTAAAAAGGTAGAATCATAGGGGGGTTTTGGCAATAAAATAATATTATAGTATTTTTTATTAATTTGATATAACACAGGGCTACTAATGACAATAAACCCAGCAAAAAATTGTATGAATAAGAAGTTAATAAATGTGTTTATGTGTTTGTTTATTCAGAGATGCTGAAGGGATAAGTGGTACGAAGGACAAGATATTGGCGGTGTTCATGGTTGGTTTGGCCGTGTTCGCAAATTCGGTGGCTATTTACAGCGACGCTTACGCTATTTTCAGGAAAAACGTTTCACCTTCTCGCTAAATCAATGGGAAATGTATTGTATTTATTTTATTTTATGTTTGCTTAATTATTTAGTGATTTGTTCTTCTTGTAAGAAAACCACATTTTCCACGAAATTGAATGTTGACACAATTTGCACCCTCCACTTGAGGAGGGAAATGATTTGTGTGTCAATTTTGTGATTAAATATAAACATTACATATATTTTGATTGTATCTTGCCGACAAACGATGATGATTGATTAAGTCGCGCTGTAGTTTACGATATTGTTAAGTGTATATTTTAACACTTTATCGTATCTTTTTATTTGAGCTTTTGGTGTGTTTTAACGATAATTGGTGCTTAAAAAGTTGATTTATTGTATTTTAGGTACAAATTGAAGAATTGGAAAAGTATGGGGTCAAAACTGTAATTTTGGCGAAAATATGGGTCAAAAGTGAAAATATCAAAATTCTGAAGATTTAATGCTGAGACCCCCGTCCCAGTTTTAGTGCAAATCATGGGACCCCCATCCCATACTCCGAAGTTGCGCAGTAAAGGGATTTTAATTGCACAAGGAAACTGCCTTCTTCCCCAAGTTCTTCACCCTATATAAGAACAAGCCAAGCACACAATTGAGATCTTTTTACACAATTTCAAGAGCAACAAAGCAATAACGAAGACGAAGAATTCGAAGACTTCAAGCATAGATTTATCGTCTATGATTTATTTTATTTTCTTTATCATAAGAATCACGAGTAGCTAAGTTTTTATTTCTAGGATTTTATTTGGAACCCTATGTGGGATTTATGAACCCAATTCTATGATTTTATGCAAGTTTTAATTCCGGATTATTTCTTCTTCTTGTTTTATTAAGTTCATGAAACTGGCCACTTTATGCGCTTTTATGTTATTGTTAATCGCATGAATCGGAAGATCGGGTTAATAATTAGAACTGTGGTAGAAGAGCCTTTGTGGTATTAACATAGGAATATAGTTAATCTCTTAGGTAGCCATTATTGAGATTTGTGCTTAATGCTTTGTTCTAGAATTAATTGCATAGGAATATAGTAATTGAATGTAGAGTATTAGAATTGTAATACACGCGGAAGCGGGTTATGATTATTTTAGCATCTCAGGTTAATAATCCGGGTTAATTGCTTGCATAATTGAAGGAATTGGGGGAATAATAATCACATAGGGGGAAGAATAAAATCCTAGGCTTGTCTACTTTGATTAATCTTCGTATTTTAAATTGCTTTCTTGTTTTTGCTTGTTTTTAATTTAGTTTAATTTAGTTTATTAATCCTTATTCGACTGTGTAGGGTGGGCTTGATAATAATTGGTAGAATTTAGCGTCTAGGATTAGATAATTAAATATTCCCTGTGGGTTCGATATCCGGACTTAATTGTCCACTATATTACTTGTACGATACGTGCACTTGCGTGTAGGTTTTCGACCAACAGATATACATGTACATGTCGTATAGTGACGTGTACATTCAATCAACCATTCAATAATAACTTTCTTCTTTCATTCATGTAAACCTATAATTATATGTGTCTCTTCTTCTTCTTCTTCTCCTCCTCGTTCGAAAATCAACAATGTCAAGCAGCGGCAAAAATGTAGTCCACATACTAGTGTTCCCATATCCAACACAAAAATGTCAGCCGGTGCGATGATATTGGGTTGGCCGATGGAGGCGGACCAATTTGTGAATGCTAAGCTGTTGGTGGAGTACAAGGGTGCGGCGGTCCTGGTGGCTGAAGGCGGTGGCACGGTGCCTGACTCGGATGAGTTGGCTCGGAAGATAGCTGAGTCGATGCGTGGGGGTGGTGTGGAGAAGGTTAGGGCAATGGAACTGAGAGATAAGGCGTGGGAAGCTATTAATGTCGGTGGGAGTTCTTACAGTGATTTGGATAGGCTTGTTCAAGAATTAGCCCAACTTAAAGTTATGAGCTAATAGCATATGGCCCCCTGTGTTATTTTTAATTCATGAAAACCCCCCGTGTTTAATAAATTAGCATTCACCCCTCCTATCTTGTGTTTGACATAGCATACAACGCCCTATTTACCATTTTGTTGTTGACTTAACTAACATGACTATACTACCCCCAATAAAAAGAAAAAGTAAAATACCTCAAACACCTAAACAAATTCTCTCTCCTCTGGCTCTTATTTTTTTTCTCTATCTTTTTTTCATATTAACCCGACCATTGGAAAAACTTAACGGTGGTGAACGGAATTTAGTACGGTTTCAGGACTTGATGGGTAGTTTTCGGGTTGGGCTGAATTTGGGTGGACGCAAGACGGGAGCACTTTGTGAACCAGGGTGGTGGCGGTGAGAATTTCGCAGAGGGTTCGCACTTGGGGAGGTATCAGTGGTGGTGGTGGTGGTGTATGTAGGGAAACGAATTGGGGCCTGGATTTGGATAGCTCAATTTTTCCATCGCTTTTTGTGTGCTCGTTTTCACTCTCTCTTCCTTTCAATGCTTCAGCATTTTTTAGTGTCTTTAATTTTGATTTTTTGGTTATGACGAATATTATTTTATGTATGTGGGCGTTGATTGATCGACTAATGATTTTGATGTGGTGAAACTTTGAACAAAATTATGAGCGGAGAAGTCCATGACCAAAAATATGAATGTTGGGTTTGGGTTGAATTGGGGAGAGGACTTTCTGAAAATGTCAGGGATCCAATTGAAAATTTTAAAAATTTTGTTACGGGACTCATAAAAATTCTAGGGTGAATCTAATTTTTATAATTTATGATGTAGGGTATTTTTGTCTTTTCAAGTTAAAAACACACCCTAGTTGCATAATGCGCGCGTGCGACACACGTTAAGTCATCAGGGCCTTAATGATTTTGACTAACTTTTATAGAGGGTTTGTTGCTAATATTTTGAACACAAGGGGTTTTTTGGCAATTAGAGATTACAAAAGGATAGTATTTGCAAAAAATCCTAAAGTTATAAATGTTTAGAAAATTCGGTGTCAGCGCTGAGGTATGGTCAAATTACGAAAAACACTCTTATTTGTTAGAAATTACAACGATCTCTCAGTTATGAATCTTCTTTCATGTCCATTATTTCGATGTCAAATTTAGTGGAATCTTTTATTTTATATGATATATTCTCAAGTTTGTACGCGTTTTATCCCATTCGAGCTCCACATTTTGAGGCAAAATGATCACAAGATGTACTTTTTGGCGTGTACATATTAGATTGTGGTGTATCATAAACTGCATTTTTGCATTAACGAGTACTAACTAGAGAAATTCAATAAAATCTAGAAGATTATGATCAATTTGACACCATAAATTGAACATGTAAGAAAATTTATAGTTAAATGATAGTTGTAATTACCAAACATAGGGGTTTTTTCATAAATTTACATAACCTCAGGGGTGGTTGTAATTTACCCATGAATATAAAATAATGCAAGTGCAAATCGATAGTTAATTTGGATTCAAATCATATTTATAATTGTATTTAAAAAAATTAACTTACAATTACATGCAATAAAATAAAACAAAATAAAAAATTAAAATACTTTACTAATGTTAGATTTAAGTGGAATTCCTCCCAACCGACATATATATTGCACAGTTGCCAGTTGCCGGTTGCAACTCACCCAGATTCGCCACTTTGTGTTGTCATCAAACAGTATAAACTTCTTTCCTCTCTCTCTCTCTCTTTCTTTCTCTCTCTCACACACACAAACACACAGAAACAATGGCGGGCGGCGAAAATGGAGTGCACATACTAGTGTTCCCATACCCAGCACAAGGGCACATGCTTCCACTTCTCGATCTATCTCACCAACTCTCTCTCCGAGGTTTATCCATTACAATCTTAATCACTCCGAAAAACCTCCCAATCTTGAAACCACTTCTATCAGCCAATCCTTCAATCCAAACCCTAGTTTTCCCATTCCCAAAATACCCCTCGATCCCACCTGGTGTAGAAAACATCAAAGATCTAGGCAACAAAGGGAATATACCAATGATGCTCGCCCTCACCCAACTCCAAGACCCAATAATCCAGTGGTACAGGTCACACAGTAACCCCCCTGTTGCCCTCCTCTCCGATTTCTTCCTCGGCTGGACCCACCACTTAGCAAACCACCTTTCTATTCCCAGGATTGTTTTTTACTGTTCTGGAGCCTTTGCAGTAAATGTTTTTGACCACCTCTGGACTAATCCAGAGGCAGTAAAACCTGGGGGTGAGGTAAAGTTTCAAGATTTACCCGGGTCGCCGAGTTTTACTTGGGAGCAGCTTCCTTCCCTGTTCCGCCAGTACATGGAATCAAATCCCAATACCGACTTGGACTCGATCAAGACTTCAATGGCTGCCAACTGTTTGAGCTGGGCTTCTGTTTTCAACACTTTCGACGCCTTGGAGCACGAGTTCTTGGACTACTTGAATAACAAAACGGGCCATCCACGGGTCTACAGCGTCGGCCCGATCGATATGGTTGTTGGATCCGACAAATTGCGGGCGGGTCATGACAATGCTCATGCTGACACTGCGTTAATGTCATGGCTCGATAAATGCGAAGATGGGTCCGTTTTGTACGTGTGCTTCGGGAGTCAAAAGATTCTCAACAAAACCCAAACGGAGGCACTGGCGAACGGGCTCGAAACAAGTGGCGCCCCCTTCGTTTGGATCGTGAATGACCACGGGTCGGTACCCAACCGTGTTTCGAAACGGGGCTTCGTTGTAAACGGGTGGGCCCCGCAGAGGGCGATACTGGGTCACCGGGCGGTGGGTGGATTTCTGAGCCATTGCGGGTGGAACTCGGTGCTGGAGGCGGTGGGGTCCGGGGCGGTGATATTGGGGTGGCCGATGGAAGCGGAGCAGTTTGTGAACGCTAGGCTGCTGGTGGAGCGTAAGGGGGCGGCGGTCCTGGTGGCGGAAGGCGGTGACTCGGTGCCTGACTCGGCTGAGTTGGCTCGGAAAATCGCCGAGTCGATGCGTGGAGATGCTGTGGAGAGAGTTAGAGCAAAGGAACTAAGAGATGAGGCGTGGGAAGCAGTTAAGGTTGGTGGGAGTTCGGACAGAGATTTGGATAGGCTTGTCCAAGAACTAGCCCAATTAAAAAGTCAATAATTAATGTTTGTAATAATTCAGCATGTATTTGCCTCAAATAAAAAGTTTGATTTCAACACTATCATTTGCTTCTTACACTGCCATAGCTGAAGAAACACATACTTATCAACTAAGCATTTTCTACTGTATTACTTATTAGTTATCCATAATTTCACCTTTCTTTCAAAATAAACAATTGTTACATCTAATCTTAATTAAATGAATTTTGAAGTCCAAATATCCCAACATGTAAGTCGCATAATAATCAAACACGAAGTTCTTCGCATGAAACTAGGCATTATATAAACAAATAAATCATACCTGAAAAAAGTGCACAATCTCGAATATGAAGGTAGCCGAGTAGACAAAGTTCTCGACCAAGTGTCCTACATTTGAAATATATAGCCGAGTATACATTAGTTTAACAATTATAATAATTTAACGATATCAAAACAGTATGAAAATGAATGGAAAATGATAAAATAGAGTAACATACCATCTAACAGCTGTTTGATTATGTGAAGCACCACCAAAACTCGTCTGTCATATGAAATTCAACCAAGATAAAGGCCACATTTGGTCATCAAAGCATATAATTGAATCTCGGCCCTAAAATATCCAGCTCGGTTAAACGAATCAACCATAACCAAACAAATCTGCTGGTCAGGTGCAACACTGTTCCATAGCATCAATCGAAAAAAATCCATAGCTTCATGTAATAAAAACCTTTTGCACAGTCTATTAATCACAGCACTATAATCTCTCACCGAAATTTCAAACCCAATCTCAGCCATTCGAAGAAAGAGTACCATAGCCCTTTCAACATCCCCCCCCTTTACACAGATTGCCTTTATAAGAGTCGTATACGCAACTTTAGACAACCTAGTATTTTGTTCTTGGAGAAAATTAAATACTCTTTCAGCCTCACCTAAGTCCCCATACACACAAAAACCATTGATAAGAATGTTGTACGTGGCACAACTTGGCTGAACATTAAGCTTAACCATCTCTTCGTGTAATTGAAATGCTCTATCGAAATTTCGCTCTTTACAGAAACATTTTATCAGAGTATTGTAAGAAATTTGATCCGGATAGAGACCCTTTGCTAACATATCCTTGAGAAGTCGGTCGGATTCTTCGAGCTGCCCGTTCTTACACAGTCCTTTCATAACCACTGTGTAAGTCACTTGATTCGGCTCGATGCCATCTGCTTTCATTTCATCAAGCAGCACGAATATTTCTCTTATGTTTCCCGCTTCAGAAAATGCATTCATAAGCGTCGTGTAAGAAACAATAGTCGGGACTAAATCATGTTTCTTGATTGCATCGAACAACTTTTTGGCATAGGCTAGTTTTCCAGCTTTGCAATATCCATTTATTAGGGAATTGAATGTAACTACAGTTGGGGAAATCCCTTTCTCCGATATTTTGTTGAACAATTCAACAGCCTCCCCCATATTACCGAGTTTAATATATCTATCTATTATAATGTTGTACAAGACAACATCCTGCACCAAGTCACTATTTGTCAACGTATTGAAATAGCTCCTTGCTTCATATATTGTTCTCTTCTGACACAATCCCAATAGAATAGATCTGTGTAGGAAAGAATTTCGGATAATTCTCTTCATGCTCATCTCGTTGTATAATTCGACGGCTTGCTGCACTTCGCCAATCTTACAAAGACCGTGAATTATCATAGAATACATAAAAAGATCTGGTTTAAAACCAACCTTTTCCATTTCAGAAAGTAAATCCAGAGCTTCGATTATGTGCCCACTTTTACACAAGCTGATGAAAAGCACACGATACGAGATACTATTTAACTGAAGACCCTTCAACAGCATCTCCTCTCTAAGCCTAAAACCCTCTTCAACATTACCTATCTGGCAATGCCCACAGATCAGTATTGTGTATGTCAGAATATCAGGGTTCGCCTCTTTTCGCAGCATTTTCTTGGTAAATTCCCCAAATTCACCCATCATACCAAGTTGACGAAACCCTTTAGAAAAAATGTTGTACGTCACTTGATCGGGCTCCAATCCGTGTTTTTCCATATCCTTTGTAAAGTCCAATGCTTCTTCTGGTAAACCAGTAATGCAGAGCCCATGAATAAGGATATTGTAACTATATACATCCGGAACTAATCCGTACTTAAACATCTTACAGAAGAATGATTTTGCAATATCTACAGAACCCAGTCTACAGAAACCTGACATCAGAGTGTTGAACCAAACAAGACAAGGCTCGGCATGTTTCTCTTGCAACTGGCGCAGAAACGCGACTGCCTCGTGAAACAAAGACTGCCTGCATAGACCATCGAGGAAAATTGAATTCGTGTAATTGGTTGGAAAAAATCCTTTAGCTTCGATACTGTCGTAGAAATCCTGCATGGTGTCTCTTTGCCTCAAGTTGTGCAACAAGCTATTGTATGTCATAATTGATGGTCGGACGCGCGATTCCTTCATCTTTTCAAGGGCGAAAAGGGCATCATGGACCATATCACTTCTAGAATAAACGAATGTCAGCATATCCCATACCATTTTATTCGAATCCCATCCACTGAAGCTTTTCGAAAGCAGCTCACATAGTGTGGGTGCAGAGCCAGACCCTGATAGAAATCATTAAAAAAAGAAATCTATAATAAAAGATGAATCAGCGGTCGAAAACTGATTCCACCATGCAACTCAGCAAGAAGAAGTTATGATAAATGTGAAGAAAATGCCCTAATTTTTTTCTGAACTATCAATCCAATAACCCAATCAAATACAATATTTGCAAATAAAATGTGGGTTATACCTTCTTCTCGAAGCACTCGCTGCAGATGGCACTGCAGTGCACGGGATCGCTTCTTCTCTGCCAAACAATGTGCGACGACGAACTGCGAATTCCGCGAGTGCTTGAATCCAAATACATTCTGCAGCACGAAGAAGAACTCGATTGCATTTTCCGAGCTGAGTTTCTCGATAATGGCGTCAATCTCAGAAGGTCCCAATTCGAGAACTTCGTACTTGAACGAAGCATTGTGCTGGAGGTAATTGAACAAGAGCTTAGTACTATGACGAAGCGGAGGAGAGTTGAAATGACCTAGAATTCGTGAGACGCTGTCGTTTTGAGGGAAATTCGTGGCGGCGGCGGCGGCGGCGGCGCTGAAGGAGGATAGGGTTTGAGGGTTTGTTGAGAAGAGTGGAGTGAGAAAACGATGTCGTCTGGTGGTTGATCTGAGCATTGAGCATCGTGAATCAGAACAGGGGAGAAGAAAGCTAGGGTTTTAGGGTTTTAGAAAGATATTGATTTGATGCAGGTTTTAGGCGGGCGAGTGCAAAACGACGTCGTTACCAATTCGTGGGTGTGAGGTTTCTCCTTTTTAATATATATATTTGGGTAAATTACACCCACACTCCTCGGGTAAATGTCCATGTGGTATCGGTAATTACACTCACCCCCTGACACATAGTTAGAAACTCTAATGGTATAATGCATTAGATACGTTGTTCCAATAGAATTCTAACGGACTATTATTTTTAGTAAGTGGTGGAGACAACATAGAGTTAGGGGGTGACATGTCCCCAACATTTCTTAAATCACCCATAGCATTATGTTGTCTCTACCACTTCCTCAAACTAATAGTCTGTCAGAATCCTATCGGAATAACGTATCTAATGTCTTATTCCATTAGAGTTTCTAACTATGTTTCACGGGGTGAGTGTAATTACCGATACCATAGGGACCTTAAAGTTATTTTATCATACCTGAGGGGTGGTGGCTGTAATTTACCCTATATATTTATTTTTATTTCATTTTTGTTTGGTCAAATTAAGGCCACTCCTGAGTTATTGTCAAATTATGGAAACCACCTTCATGTTTAGGTAATTATAGTCACCCCATCAACTATGTATTATCTTACGAAAATATCCCTTTAGAGATGTTAAATCGGTAAAATTTAACTGAAATTTCGGTACGCCAACATTTCATACCGTTTACCGAACTGAATATACGATTCGGTTTGGTAAATAACCGAATTACATAAATTTTATGTGAAAATATTAAAAAAAAGAGGCGTGGATGTAACTATCCAAACAATATGTATTTTTTCGTAATTTGAACATACATCAAGGATGACCGTAATCTGCCCTTTTATTTCAGAGGTTCTCCTTTCTATTCTTCTTACATTTTCCCTTTCTTATGACGTATTATCATTCATGGAAAACATGTCTAATAAATTCCAATCTTAATAATCTAAATACCACTAACAGCGTTTATTATAATAATATAAGGGTAATTGCCTAATTGGCGTTTTGCACCCTATAATTATGCTCATTTGGCTTTGTGCACCCTTAAAATCTGACATTTGCACTTTCAAATTAAGATTTACTTAACATAGTGCACCCAGAGGCCAGAACCTAAAAGTAGTGGAATAAAAGGACTTTGAGAGAACTGAAAGGGTAAGTTTGTGAATAAATTCACTACCAACCTTTTTAACTACAAAAAAAATATTTATATTCTTCCTCGTTCACGGATGTAATAGCAATAATTGACCATTTTGCCCATTGAATTATGGTAAAATCATTCTTTCCGACGCAAACTTTAGCAGAAAAGTGTTTCGAGATGCAACGTGCCAAACAAATCTTAATTTGAGGGTTTTATCTACCATATTTTTAATTTAAGAGTGCAAAGTATCAAATGAAGATAACTAGAGTGTGCAAAATATCAATTACCCAATACAATAATATGTATATTTTTTTATTATAATTGTTGTTGTCGTGTTAATATCTAGAGCACCCATACACACACACATACACACGTCAATATATGGCAAGAAGGTATATTGGCCGGACCCCAAACTAATGTAAGGTCGAACTTCTTTTTCATTTTCGCCGATTTTGATCTATAAAATTTCAATTTTCCAAACAAATATCTTTTTTTTCCAAAATCCGGATTTCATAATGGACAATATATATGTTTGGGCAAATATAAGGCAACTAGACGAATATTCCCAACCCCACAATTCCACAAAATTCCACAAATAGTACTTGGTTCTTTGTTTTCTCTTAATCATTACAACTTAAATAGCAATCCATACAAAATAATGCCCACATGAGAAAACTCCTCACCAATTACAAGTTGTATTAAAATACAAAAAACAAGATTAGACTGCCACGTTTGTTCTCATCCAAACTTTAATACATAATCTGCTTATTTTTATTTAATATTTTCACTGTACTTTACACACTCTAACTCTTTTTTTCCATTTTTGGTCAATTTGTCTTCATTAGTTTTTGCTCATCTATAGTTTGCCAAACAATAGACAGCTGAAGATTGTGACTTCTACCAAACTTCACAATCCTATCACCTTATGCCTCGTTTGGTGGAAGAGATTAGTCATTATTAATTAAATAATTGGATTTTGTTTGATGTTTAGTATCCCCAATAACTTGCGGGGTCGACAGCCAATATTATGTTATCATTGCTTATCTTGTCTTCTAAGCATGTTTTCTGTTAGACGTCTCGGGATCCAATAAAATAGTTGGGTTTTTCATTAGATTATGTAATCTTATCTTGACTAATCTTATCTCGGACACCAAATGAAACCTTAAAAGATCATCAATTTTTTCTTTAATTGCATTAGCCGAAAAAATGAAATGAAATCAAGACAATTTTTCGAGGCTCGCAATTGATTTCATATTGTTACACATCCACTGGAGCCGTACAGAAGAAAATAAAACGAGCGATATTGCAAAAAGCCAAGCCATTGAGTTTGTGTAACTAATAATTATACGAATAAAGTCGTTTTCCTTTCGAATTGACAAAGGTTTGATTGAAAAGAAACAGCAGAAAACAGAAAGAAGAAGACGAAAGCCATTCTGATAAAACTCCACACTGAGGAAAGTGGATCCAATATTTACAAGGCAGATTACTTCTCTCAAAGGTTCAACAAATTATTTATCTAACAATCTTTATATTCTAAAAAAAAAAAATTAAAAAAAAAATTCAAGCAATTCTACTCAAACTTCCAACTCCAGCTTCTGCTTCAAAGAATATTTACACATCACAGTTTCTCTCACTTCAGGGAAGAAGAAAAAGGAAAAAAGAACACAGAAACTCTACAACAACCCTGCAGCAAATCTTTATTTCTTTATATAATATCTCGTAAAACCTCAAACTCTCAAAACTTGCAAGAAGTCCCCAGCCTCTGTCTCTGCTTCTGACCAAAGACGAGCGATTTCCGTTCGGCAAAAGCAGGGTTAAGCAAATCCTGAAACTTGTCCAAAAACAGACCCCACTCTTCCTCGTTCATATCCGCCACCTTGACAAAGCTCGCACTCGCCGGCAACTGCTCGTTCGCACTCCTATGCCCAGAGGACGAACTCCCTGCGTAACTGCCCTCGTCTTTCCCTCCAAAAAACTTGGGGAATTTCTTGCTCTTCTCACCTAAGCTAGTATTCTTCAAGGACACAGACAAGGCTGTCACGGTCGGATTCCTCAGCAGCGCTGTCACACTAGCTAAACCCTTTTCCTGTTCTTCTTCTTCTTCTTCTTCTTCCCCTTCAGTCTCCACTTCCTCGACACTCTCGTCCAGTTTCGCGAGTGGAGTCCGCCCGTGAAAGTGATTGAAACTCCCGAATCCAAAGTCTTCGAAAGCCGACTTGGAGTTGGCAAACTCGTACTCACCATCTTCGTAATCGATATCGAAATTCAAGTCGTCTGTATCCGCTCTGGATTTCGGTGACATCATCTCTTCTGCAGTGAGTCTTCTTGCCTCGATGCATATAACTTCGAGTTCACTCGGCTCCTCTTCACCAGCACGAAACTCTCTACTCATCATCTCCCCAATCTCAGCCAAGCAAAGCCCACGCGCAGCAGCTTCCTTGAGAAATATCGTACAAAGAACCAATACACGCAAACAGGCGTCTCTAATCATGGGCAGCTCGCTCCGCAGCATAGCTGAATCACGAGCAGGGTCGAGATTGCGAATATACTCGAGCTCATCCTCGGAGAATGGAATCGAAGACTGAGGCCAATGCATCCACTCAAAATAAGGATCCTCCAAACTCTCGGGCAAGCAAAGCCCATGATCGATTGGGATCAATTCAACCTCACCAAATCCATCGAGCTTTCGAACCAACAGATTACCTGCGTGACGGTCCGTGTTAAGAATCCTGATATCCAAAATCCCGATTCGATGCACCGCGGACACGGGGAAGCTGGATGTGCCATGGTCACTAGCATCGAAATCGTGAGCCATGAATTTCTGTAAAGATGCAATCTTGCTAACGAGTTTCTTGTTCTGATGATTGTTTCCATTCACACCATCGTTGACATTGAAGATCGAGTGAGTAATCTTCACAAGAGCGGTAGGCGGCACATTTGCAAAGTGGTCATAATCAAGAAGATAAGCAGCCACTTCTCTGAAGCCCGTTTCTCCTACTCTCACCGAGCGCTTCAATCCAGGCTGTCCGAGAGCTTTACCGACAAAACCCTTCGGATTGTTGGGAGCAAACGGCTCTTCGTCGGTGGGTTTCACTATAGCTACACTTTCACCTCTTACATTTCGGAAATAATACGCCCCACCGAGCCCACTGTGAACAGGGAGTGGATCGATCCCATGATTCACCGCCTTGACAATTTCCTTAACCAGCTGTTTTGTCTTGGCGAAACGGGTCGAATGTCCTAAAATCTCGATGGGCCCGCTCCGATCTCGCTGCTGCATGTCCCTGCCTGTGGGTGACAGGCATGGAGTAGACGAGCTTCTGTGGAATACATTCCTTGTTAACAAGAGAGGCGAATCGTTTCGGATTGCACTGAGATCGTTTTTGAGAACCATGTCACCGAAAGTTAAAGAACTTTCTTCGATGGGGAAATTCAGTGCGATCTGCAGCCTCCTCTTTACTGTATGCGCGTTATCGCTCCTGTCCAAATCCATACCCAACACACAGCCCGTCTCGGTCTGGACAAACACTCGTCTCCTGCCGGTCAGTTTGCCTTCCGATTTATTGGTCCCGAAGTACTCCCCACTGCCGAGTGAATTCTTGTAAATCGCCACAGCCATCTCTGTCTGAACAGGGCTTTCAAGATTAGGAGACATGAAAATGGGGAAAACGGAAAGCGGTTCTCCTCACAGACAGCAACCAAGAATGGCAACGGGAGAGAGATTTCGTCTCACTCTCGGTCGAGCGCCAAACTCAGAAACTGATTGTGAGTGAACCACGGATATATTCAATCCGATAAGGATCATCAACAAATCGAGATCCGAACTCCCAAAACACCCTCCAAAATCACCGAACGGAACCCTAATGAATCACACGGCACCGATGTTTCAGAAGTTAAATACCGAGAGAGAGTGGAATTAGCAGATCACTACATCGATAAAGCCATGTGACGATTCCAATAAAAACTCGAACCACAATCTGCAATATAAAAAAGAAAGAAATCAAACCATAGAAGTCAACAAAATATTCCCATCAACTCAAAAATGGAAAACAATACAAACAATACATCCATAAACGGAAAACCAGCTGATTAGCTCGAAAACCGCTTTCAAGAACTACAAAAGGTGTACATCACTACAGATTACAATTATTTAATAGATTACTTAAATTACCGAGAAAATAAAGTATTTTGGTAAGAAAACAGCTAATACTTACTATTACAACATCGTTCACATTTAAATTTAAGTACCAAAAACAATAAATAATCTTTCGAAAGAAAATCGTAAATGAGCTAGAAAAAAACACACAACACCTTCGTGATTTAACGGATCTGATTAAAGAATCCAATCAATTCCATCACATCACAATCATTTGATACACTAGTTTTCACATTTCGATAATCAAAATCCTTAATCGTGTAATCTCAAAATTAAGGTTGCTCAAATTACTAATCGATTTCAGACGAAACACGATGTTAATTAAATTGCAAAATCGAATCAAACAAAAAGAAAAACCCTAAAATAACCACACAATTACACAATCGAGAAAATTAACTCACCAAATGGCCAGATCTGAAGAGTTATTGCTTCGCTTCCCCTGTTTCAGTGCACAGCTACAAGACCGTTGAGATAACAACAACGTTTGGTGAAATCGAACGATTCAACGGTCGGTGAAATAGACAACAAGAAGGTTTAACGGCTATGGAAAATGTAATCTTCTTTCCTCCGACGAGGCCACCAAAAACCCTCTCCTTGCTCCGTGCACACACTCTCTCTCTATATATATTGCTCTTTCTCTCTCTATATCTATATGTGGATATATCTGTGTATGTGTATGTATGTATATATAAAAATTACTTGTTCTATTTATTTTCACATTTCCTTTTTGCCTTAGTCTTTTTTTTCTTTTTATTAAAATTGTTGTGTTTTTAACTTTTTAACTCTACTGTGGATTAAAGTCACGCGTGAACTGCGGTTAGATTAAGCCAACCCGGGGTTATATATATATATATAGCCTCAATTTGTGGAAGTGTCTAGAAAGCAGAATCTGAGCCGTCCGATGACGAATGATAGAACCGATCTCAACCGTTTTTGGATTCGGTGACGTGGAGATAAGGGATTGGGAGGTGACGTGTCACGGTCAGCGAATCCCCGCGACTTTTCTTTTACACAATTTTCCTAGCACATAGTTCGGAATTTGACTATGGAAATGCCTTGGAGTGGACAAAATTGTCCTTGGTTATATTTTATTTTAAAGGTAAATTACGGTCACCCCTAGTATAAGGTCAAATTACGAAAAAAATTATTATGTTTGAGTAATTACAACCAACCATCAACTATGAATCATCTTACACATTCATTCTTGTTGTGTCAATTTTAGTGGAATCTTCTTAATGATATGAAATATTATTAAGTTTGTATCCAATTCGAGCTCCATATTTTGAAGCAAGATGATCGATCATAAGATGTTTTTTTTTTGCTTGTATATATCAGATTGTAGTGCATCAAAACTGCATTTTTTTTTTGCACAAAACTAGTACAAACTAAAGAATATTCCACGAAATCTAGAAGATTATGTTGAATTTGACACCGTAAGAGTGGACATGTAAGAAGATTCATAATTGATGTGTACTTGTAATTATCCTAATAAAAGGGGGTTTCCGTAATTTGATCTTACATCAAGGGTTGATGTAATTTACCCTTATTTAAAACAATTTCTTTTTTTGTTGTCCTAAAGATAAGAGGTTTATTTTATGACATTTTAAAAGAAAATCATAGCAGTAATGAACAAATAATAATCTACAGTAACGAATTCCATAAATTATTATTGAGTGACTACCCCAAAAATCGCCCCTTAGGTAAGGTTTATGTACGAAAAAACCCCTCATCTTTACATAATTAAGTCCACCCCTGCAATTTATAGAGTTCATACATTAACACCCTTTTGAAGGGGTGGATGTAAGAAATTCACAAACTGCGGGGGTTGGATGTGATTTTTTCAAAATAACTTTTTTAGAATTACATTTTAGCTCATGGACCCAAAAATGGAATGGGCTTTTTCACTGGTATGGTTAAGGTACGAGGTTGTAATTCGGTGCATCGCGTGTGCATGGGAGGAATGTGTGGATCTATTGATGTTGAAGTGGGGCCCACTTGATGGTGATGTGGGGCCGATGTGTTAAAGAAAAAGTACAAAGAGGAATTCTATTGGTCAAGTGCAGGTTTGACTTGAATTCTTGATCAAGATTCAAGACTTCAACGAAGCAGGGGATGACTTCTCCTCACTTTCAAGACTTGATTTCTATTGGTCATTAATTTTTAGGGTAAATAACACATAACCCCCGATAGTTTGAACTTTGTGCATAAGATACCCTTGTATTTCGAATATTAACGCATGAACCCCTTGTGCTTAAATATAAGTACACAGCCCCTTGTCATTCAAAAAATTATTCCTCGTAATGAATATGATTATTTATCAAGTGAAATACCGCAAGATAGTTATGTGTTTACATTAAAAGTATAAGGGGGTCATGTGCAAAATATTTAAACCACGAGGGCTTAAGTACTATTTACCTTTTTTTATTTATTGCAACACTAATAAAGAATTAGTATCAAGGACTTTGTGTTAATTAGGGTGCCACTAAGTACAATTAATTAAAATATAATAAAGTATGCAATGTCCAAAGCTAAAAGTGGATGTTCAATAATGTTTGGGATTCTTTAGGGAACATGATTTGATGCACCTTAATTCATAAAAAAATATAATAATATATTCTTTTGTGGTAGTCCCACTACTCATCAATTTGAGGGAAGCACGTCTAATTGGAATACATTATTATAATAATTGTTATTATTATTATTGTTTATGTCTAAAATTCAACTAAAAAAATAAAAATTAAAGTTAATTATAAAGTGATGATACTTTTAATATTTGTTAATTATTAATTGAAATACTTAAGTGAAATCGGTTTTGTAAATGCCATACTGTGAAATACACCATGTAATTCTAAGACACTGATCTACACATAATAAAACATCACACTCATCTGTAAAAGCTTTAGTTGGTAATTATTTATATAGACGTATTAATTATTCATTGGATATACCATCTTATAGACCGGTGAAACCTTTGTCATATGTTTGTTTTGTATATGAGACAATGTGCCAGAAAAAGGGGAGATATTTTTTTAAAATAATAAAATAAACCTAACAAATTAGGATGTAGTGGATGCATGTTTCCCTCAACCGTACACATGAAATAATATTCAAACAAGTAAAATTTACTTGATTTGTCATTATATCATACTCAATAATTATTAAAGTCACAAGAGACTATTTTTATATTAAAAAAATTTAAATTATAAAACGTACTCTATTGAAGAGCACATACAATCTTTAAAAAAAATTACATCTATCCCAACTTTTTAAATAAGAATATTATACTAAACAAAAATAGCTTATAAACTCATTATTCAAACACTTAAAAAAATAATTCTAAAAATAAGATGTAACAACATATCAGCTCTTATCAACAGACTTTAAACTAAGCTTGTCAAACGGGCCCTAATGTGATGGATGCATCAACTTAATTTTTAGTATGTCCGTAGCCCAAATAAAGTAATTAAATAATGATTAATCGGCTCACTCAATATGTTCCTCGACACTTTTTGAAGATAGATTTTTTTACATCGATGTAATTTAAATATTTAATTATTCAAAAGAGATTTCGTCAATGGTTTTTGTGAATAGTGAAAAAGTCAATGTGGACATTGTTGACTAAGGTAAGATGGTGTTTGTAAATACTTTAGAAAATAGATTATGAGTTTTTTTTTGTAAATAATTTGTTTTTAGATGTATTTAAAACAAATTTTTGTTTTTGTTTCTCTTAAATAAACTACTTTAAGCTGTGATTTTAAAAGAACCCATGTACATGTTTATTTAATTGATTTTTCCGCTAATTTGCAAACACCTTCAATTTTTGGAAATAAACACTTAATTCTAACTTAACTCGCAATCATTAACTTATATTTTTTAAATAAGCTTTTGCAAACACCACCTAAAAACATTACTACGGTTTCATAGTTTCATTAGATCTCTAACCAACTTAATTAATTTACTAATGCAAATGGTAAATATTTTAGCACAAAGGAAATAAGAAACTAAAGACCAAAAATTTAAAACATTTAATTGTTAAAAAAAGAAATAAAAATATCCCCCATTCTACTCCTTGCAAGAAGAACGCACGCACGTGCGAGGCATGAAACCCTAGGGTTACCAACACACGTGCATGCTCTACACGTACAACTTACTATATTTACATTCTCGTTTGTCGGGTTCACTGTATGTTACGATTCAGCTCCATGAAACCGACAACAGCATTATCCAATAATATCTCTCCACGTCACCAAGGTGCTGCATGCGATTCCTCCCCCCTTGTGGAGGTACAGGGTATTCCAGTGGGCGAGAGATTTAGTGAAATATTCTATTTATGGTAAATTATTGAATTATGTAGGCGGTTTCCGGTAGGCGGTGGTGAAGCACGTGGTTTTGCTTCCAGTTCTTACAGCTTTTTGATATGTGTACCTGTTCCTATTGGCTGAATTTCCGTGTGCTTTTTTTGGCCCTTATTATTCGATTCTCGCCCGGCCCGGCCCGTTAATTAATTTATAAACAATTTTCAAAACAACTCTGTTCAAGATTTCAGCATATAGTATATATTTAAAATAAAAACTAGTAATAAATATATATTCATTTAAGGAAAATATGTGTAATAGGACTAAATTAACTAATCTTTTATTACTAATTATTCTTCCACTTGTAATAATTATTTTTTGATATAATTTCTAAATAGTAAGGAAAATTGTAGTAATTAAATCAATAATATAATAAAGTGACAGATAATATAAAATTTACTTATAATTCATACTAAAAAGTGTTCTTAATATATACTTTAAGAAAAGCAAAAGACAATATTCAAGATAACATCAAGTTCGCAAAAATTAATAAAAAGCAATTCGAACATTTATTCACTACAGTAATCATAAATTTACTCTATTTTGACTAGCGAAGCAGAATTTTAAGTCCATCATGGCGCTGATGCTATTATACATGAATTATTTTATATTTTTATATAAAATAATAAGGATTTTAGGAATGTCGGGGACCATTCCCTCGCACTATGCTGGCTCCGTTAATGTTTATATTAACGAGAAATTACACGTGGATTGTATTATTATTAGATAGTTGTCACCATCATTGTTCCCTAATTTATTAATTATAATTATCATTTTTTATGTATAACCGGGGCCTGCAATTTATAAACTTCTGTGTTTCTATATCTATATCATGCTCGCACGTAAATTGAGTCCTCTCAAACTCAAAGTAACCGATTTAATTAGTGTACAATGACTCATTAGTTTATTTCGTACCATAACGGATTTTACATAATTTGTGAAGTGTTGGAAATTGCAATTTTTGCTTCAAATCGGACTTTATTTATTTATTTATTCACATTTTTTTTGTGTGTGTCTTGTGTCACAGCTTTGAATACTTAATCATGAAGTTATTTTTTCGATATGGTGTTTGCATGATGAGCAACGAGGATTCAACACGTGTACATCACCTGTACATCGGTGGCGTATATCAAAATTATTGTACATATATTATTTAGGTTGGGTTTGAATTTATTGAGGATAATAAATTAATATATGTGTTCATGTTATTCCTTACTGTGTTAAATTTTATTTTTGAAATAAAATTATTTTATTTATTGACCAACAAATAGTTTAACGAAAAAAGATCAGACGATAAGTGTGATTAATTAAAGTTTAAATAGCCCAATTTCAATTTCTGGCCGAACTTCTTTTAGTGGGCCCAATTCATGGAGTTAGAGGCCCATTTTACAAAAATATAATAATATGTTATTTTGTGGTAAGTTGGTGCAAATATTCAATTAAGCCTCATTTGGGTTAGGATAGGGTTTGATAGAAAACATAATTACAGAATTAACTCATTTTTGCGTTTTTGCAAGTTGTTCGTTTTTCCCCATTTATTAAGGTCTTCTTACTTTTAAAAGCACACTACTCAAGCAAAACAACCCGACGAACAAAACTCATGAGCATAGCTAATGAGTCAAGTCATATTTCGGTTATCCAACATCATTTCAACTCATAAAAATTAAATTTTGCTATTTTCGAAGAGTTTTTGAATATTCAAATCATTTCCTATTTTTTTCCCTAATGATCGTTGATCTTTAAAACCACATTCAAAACCCTGACCAAGCAAAACAACCCTAAGCTCACAAGTTTTGAACGAACATCGATTTGCCACATAAAAATCAAACTAAGCGATTTCTAGAAAGTGTTAGAAAATTCATATCAATTCACAAACATCAGATGAGAGTTATCATCAAATCTTATGTTTCTTAAATTGCAAGATGTTTTAAAAGTAGGTATTAACTTACTTTTAATTTTTTTTTAGTAGAATGGCTGTTTATCTGGTTTAGCAAGGTTTTTTGAGTTTTAAAAGCACATTATAAACCCTATACGCCAACCGCGAAATTTGAAGGATGTAAGTTCCGTAAAGCTGACCTTTACAACTTTTCGCATAACACAATAACCTGTAAAAGCAAAAACAAATGACTCGGTCATATAAACAAGGAAGAATCGTTGGCTGATTGCACTAAGAGTAGCCGATGCATTATTTCGATAAAAGTACCAACATATGAATTATTCGAGGGTGAAATATACTTCATCAAAAGACCATATATATTTGCATACATAGTTAAGCCTCAACGTCTAGTTAGAGAACCAAAATCACTGTAATCAAACCATGACAGTAATAAGAAACAAAACTCGAGAGTCGTTTATTTTTGCTTTTGAACACTTTTATACACATCGAGGTCTACGCATTAGCAACCATTCCCATCTATCGATTATATTAAATTACATATCAGAGTTACTAAACAAAAAGGTGCAAAGAATGACATCAAAATTGTGGTTCTTACTCTTCACGAAGTGGTTTAAGATTGCCATTAACATCACCAAACCCAACAATCATAAATCATAGCTTGAGAAAATCAGCAAACACGTAGCTGCATGAAGTCTTCCAAATTTTTTAACGAAAAATAAAATAAAGTACATAAAACGTCGTAATTACCTGCAAAATTAGGAGCCGGTGTAAGCTGAGCTACCGTCGTAGTGTGATCGGCCGAGCAGGCGATGGCAGCTCAGCTGGAAATTACAACCACCTCTCAACTATAAATTTTCTTACACGTCCACCCTTGCGGTTTCAAATTTAGTGGAAGCATCTAGATTATATGGAATATTATCACTTTTGTACCCGTTTTATCACATTCGAACTCCACATTTTGAAGCAAGATGATCATATGTGTTTTTTGGCTTGTATATACCAGATTGTGGTACATCAGAAACTGTATTTTTACACAAAATGAGTACACAGAGCACATTCTACGAAATCTAGATGATTATGTTGAATTTGACACCATAAGAGGGGAGATGTTAGAAAATACATAGTTGAGGGGTAGATGTAATTATTCAAACAAGAGGGATTTTTTCGTAAATTGACCATGCATCTGGGAGTTGTTGTAATTTACCCTATTATTTATGATAATGTAATATGATGCGGTCAATAATAATTTAACTCGATCAACTCGAAATAATTCTCGAACCTGCAATAAATATTCGAGAACCAAAACAATCTTTTTCAACGACACCTGTGGATTGTCATGAAAATGATGAATACTTTTTAAAATAATCGGACAGTTGTGTCTATTTCGTTAATCCAACCGAAAGTGATTATCAAATGGGGAAATATTATCCACAATTAAGGGGGGAAAAACAAAGAAAAAGTGTACTTAAGGACAAAAATCGAGAAGACTAGTTTATGTTAGCTTATGGGAAAAATGGTTGTCAAACTACGTCGTTTTGGGTCCAAGATGGTCCTTTTCGTTTCTTTTTTATTTGTTTTCTCATTTCATTTTTCTATAAATTGGCCTTAGGGCATCTCCAATGGAGTAAGCAAATCGGGTCTCCAAATTTTGTTTTGGAGACCCATATGAAGACCCGGTAAAATTTTCGAGTCTCTAAAAAAAAAAGTTCCACAGTGAAGGGCTCTATAGTTTTGAGTCTCTAAATTTATTTTACGATTTTTTTATATAATAATGTGATTAAGGTTTAAATTTTATTCATATGTGAGGTTTTAGATAATTAATTTATATTCCATCAATCATAATTACTTTTAATACACACTTTGATCAAATAAATAAAAAAATCTGAAAAGATATGATATATGTCCAAATATAATGAAAAAAGATATATACACCAATTGATCCCTGCCATTAATTATTTTATCTACATTTCTATAGAAAAATAATTCTAACAAATGAAATGACAAATTATTAGCACAAATATATGTTCAAATATAATGAAAATAATAAATACATCTTTTTTCGAATTATATAAATATTAACATAAGCACCCCTTAAAAACTAAGAAGGAAAAACGAAAACGAAATAAAAAGCCGTGGGACCCAGCAAATAGAGAGTCTCCCAAATGAAATCACATATTTAGGAAACCCTCTAGGACTTTGGTGAAAGTCTCTAAATTTGCATAGCCACTAGAACTCTGAGTGGTGTTGCTTTTTTAGCAGAAGTTCTATATTTAAAGCCAATGGAGTATAAAGCCTCCTTGGGATGCCTTATGCTTTTCAATAGCCACTTTAACTTGTCACTTGCCCCTTTGTTCACACATTGAGATCTAGAGGGCGTTTGGCTAAGCTTATTTTAAACAAATGATAAGATGTTTTTAGAGCTCATAAGTTATTATATTTTATTTTTGTGGTTACTTTTTAGAGTGTTTGGATAATGAATTTATTTCCTATTTTTACTTATTATAAGATCTTAAATAAAAATATGGGGTAGATGTATTTTTTTTAAAAGATATTATTTGCTCTCCAACACCTTATTTTAAAAAATTAAGATCTTTTTTAAAAAAATTACCAAACGCTTTGGAAGAACTTATAAGCTCTAAAACATCGTATACGTTCCTTTTAACATCTTATAAGCTTAGTCAAACGTTCGCCTAATCTCAATACCTATTTGTGTTTCTTCTATACGCATGCATAATCTATATATTTGAGTAAATTACAACCGCCTCCGAAATAAGGTCTATTTATAAAATAAAATAAAAATCCTCATTTTTTTTTTTATTGTTACATCCACTTCATGTAATTGTAGATTTCTTACCTTAATACCCTTTTATAGGAGGTTGATGTAGGAAATTTACAAACTATTGAGATTGGATGTAATTTGTAAAAAAATGAGGAGTTTTTTGTAGATGATTGTAATTTATCATATATTTATATATATTGTTTTTTTTAGAGAGAAATATATACAATTAAACCTCTATAAATTAATATAGTTCGGGACAAATCAAATTTTATTAATTTCGTGAAATATTAATTTATCAATACAAATTTTAACACGTTATCCTCAAGTTGGGACCGCAAAAAATATTAATTAAACAAAGTGGTTAATTTATCGAGATTCTATTATATATATTGCATACCAATATCCACCAACTCAAAAGGGCCAAGAAAATCGTTTTGCCGAGTGGGCCTCCATAATGTAGGAGTAGCATATCAAACAAGATATATTTTTTATGGCCCATTTATCTCTAAATTAATTTGGACATAAATGAAGTGAAATTATTACCATTATTATTATTAATTTAAAAAAAATATATATATTATTTATATTTTCAATAAGTAATCTTTATAGCTGGATTGACCTGAAGATTGCTACTAAAGTACAACTCGTGAACCCCTCTCCCTTTTACATGAATTACATCACATGATCCACTACAACTATTTGCACCATAATAAATTAAATTTATTATATATATATATATATATATATATATATATATATATATATATATATATATAAATAAAAAATAAAAATATGTTATTAGGTTTGATTGACATGGATATTTTACTAGTTGAATAATCAATGTTTTTAAATTAATAATATGACATATGCATTTAATGTAATAATGAATAAAGAAATCAGATAGTAGTAATGAATTAAATATCCACTATAGTAGAATTTAAAATATAACTTATGGGAAAATTTAAAAAAAAAGATATAAATAAATAAAATAAAACTACAAATAGTAGTTAATGAATTAAAATAAAAAGGAGGAGGGAAAAATAAATAAAAGTAAAAATTATCACCAAACCATAGCTGCACTTCACTGCAGCGGTTCTGCAATTTTTTATTTGTTCATCATTTTTAAGTATTTCACGATCGTTTGTTGGTTATTTTTTTCCTGAATTATTTCGTTTAATTGTCGGCCGATTATTAAAAAAAAAAAAAAAGACAAAAAATGAGATCTGGAAAGAGCAATCGGGAAGAAGAAGAAGAGGAGGAAGATGACGAAGATTCTGGTACCCAGAAAGATGCGAATCCATCAAATAATAGCACCAGAGGTATTCTTAAATATTTGAATTTAATTTTCGTTTGTTGTAATAAATTTTTTATTTTTTATTTAGTTTTGGTCTGAATTTTGCTGAATCAGATGGTAAGAACAGCGACAAAGCTAATGCCATGAGATCAAAACACTCGGTCACTGAGCAACGCCGCCGGAGCAAGATCAACGAGAGGTGATTATTTCAATTTCGACAAAAAAAATTAAATTGAGAGGGATTTTTTTTTTTAATTAATTTGATGAATACTTGTGGCAAGACTGATAATATGTAGTATTTGAAAGTATAAATGTGATTAGTCAAAAGTAGTGACCTTCTTAGTGCAATTCTTGAAAATTTATAACAGTGTCCAATTCTGTTTGTTCATCTGCTAATTTTGAAATATTTGTGTTAGATTTAATCTACTAATTTTTTAGGGCAAATTGTATCAGATATTAAGAACTACAATGTGGTTAATGATGATAATACTTTTCTGATAAATAGGTTTTAGGGTAAATTACGGCCACCTTTTAAGATAAGGTTAAATTACGAAAAAATTCCTGATGTTTGGGTAATTACTACCACCCCTCAACTATGAATTTTCTTATACGTTCGCTCCTATGGTGTCAAATTCAATACAATCTTCTAGATTATGTGGAATGTTCTCTAGTTTGTACTCGTTTTGGGCAAATATGCAGTTTACGATGCACCGCATTCTGATATTTACAAGCCAAAAAATACATCTTATGAGCATTTTGTTTCAAAACGTGGATCTCAAATGGGTTAAAACGGGTACAAACTGGAGAATATTCAACATAATCTTCAAGATTCCACTAAATTTGACACCGTAAGGTTGAACGTGTAACAAAACTCATAGTTGAAGAGGGTGGTTGTAATTACCCAAACATGAAGGGTTTTTTTGATAATTTGACCTTACCTCAGGGCTGGTCTTAATTTTACCCTAGGTTTTATTGTTATTGATAGTCTTTGGAGCATGTCTTTTGCACTAACAGTTTTTTTTAATACCTCAGATTTCAAGTATTAAGAAAACTAATACCACACAGTGATCAAAAGCGAGACACTGCATCGTTTTTATTAGAGGTAAAATAACGAAATATTGCATCATTTTTTCGTTAGAGGTTTAACTTTTTTGCTGAAGGAATGATTATTCGTTGCAGGTTATTCAGTACGTACAGTTTCTACAGCAAAATGTACAAAACTACGAGGAATCTTATCGACCCAGCAGTTCAGAGCCCACAAAGCTGATGCCCTGGGTAAAAATTCTACAGAATTCCGTTTTATCAATTCTCTTAAGGTTTATATAAATCTTGATTTATTCGTAAAAAGAAAATATTCGTTGTACTTAAATTCGGTAAGTGACATTATTCTTAGTTTTCGTGGCTTGGGAATTTTTTCATTGTTCTAAACTAGTAAATCACCTTTTTTTTCGTTTCCCCCCTCAAAAAAATAACAGAGAAACAGCCATTTGCGTGCCGACCCTAGTTCGACGTTGCATGGTAAGTTTGACCGTGGTCAACACATTCCGATTGAATCAATAGATACACCTTCAGATGCACAGCCTAGTAATGGCCTGAACAATCAAGAAGATTTAATTATTGAAGGAGGGACAATCGGCATTTCTGGTGTTTATTCCCAACGGTAAGTTATTTCATTCATGTATAAAATAAAGGGCAAATTACGGCCACCCCTGAGGTATGGCCAAATTACGAAAAAAACCCTCTTGTTTGAGTAATTACAGCCACCCCTCCTTGTAAATATTAATACATAAAATTTATGTAATTCTGTTATTTACCGAACCAAACCGTATATTCAATTCGGCAAACGGTATGAAATGTGGGCGTACCGAAATTTTGGTTCAATTTTACCATTTAACTTCTCTAAATTTACCTCTTGAGGGGTAATTGTAAGATAATATAAATAGTTGAGAGGGTGGCTGTAATTACCCAAACATGAGGGGGGGTTTCGTAATTTGACCATAACTCATGGGTGGCCATAATGTGCCCAAAAATAAATTAATCTTCGTGTAGAATTGGTTGATGAATTATCTTTGTTGCAATATTTTAGCATATACTTAGCTAATCCAATATTCAAATGTGAGTAGGTTATTGAATTCTTTTACGCAAGCGCTTGAAAGCACGGGTGTGGATCTTTCACAAGCCACCATTTCGGTTCAGATCAATCTCGGAAAACGGGCAAATAAGGTGGGTACTAAAAATGAATTTTAGGAAAACGAGTGTTTTTTCATCGTACTATGTTTTCGTCTCTATTTGTGTTTATCTCACAAGAACGCACTTATTACAACCACATCTTATAGGATCAATCAACCAGTGAAGACTTGGATCAATCTCAGAAAAGATTCAAGACTTGAGAAAAGAAAATAAAAATGCTAGGGTGGTTTCAAAAGGTTCATATTCGATCTTCGATTTTTGTATCATCGGGCTTGTTTTTTTAAGCTAAATAGTTGCTTGTATATTATATATATATTGAGGATTCGTTTTTTCATTTTTTTTTATGTGTTTTGGGTCCCGATAAAATTATGTTCATACACGATCGGTCGTCCCTTTTTGTTATCGGCTTGCTGGGTGTAATTTTTAGCATTAGAGTGATCCATGTATTTATTAAAGGCTGATGAAGATAACTTCATGATTGAAATATTTATTTCCATGCCATTATTTTTTATTTCTGAATGCAATTTTTTTTTTTTCATTTTTTTTTTTTGATGAATTTCTGAATGCATTTTCAGTGTAGTAACCAAATCGGGCCTGAAACGGGCTTCTGAACGGGCTAATTTATAGATGAATATTTATTTATTTATTATTTTCAGAAGATTGTATAGACTGATCTTATCTATCTATGTAATAAATAAATCGAAACTCTCATAGCCTAGAATTACCACATGTTCTTTCTTTTCTTTTTATGTCATATGTGTCATCCTCTGATGTTTTTCTGAAAAAAGTATGAGTTCAAAAACGAAGTTGGATCACCAAAATTTGACGCGATTCATGAACAAAGCTCGTCAGTTTTCTTTGTCAGACCGTTTCGCTTGGGTTAGTGTTGCTAGCGTACTATTAATACTAAAAAAACACTGACTAACCTGCATAACACCCATTTTGCAGAAAAATGTGAAAATGAGCTAAAAGCTAATTCTAATAGATCTCGCAATATTAGAAGTAAAACAACTGACATAATCCTCATACGATGTTTCTATTAATTGATATGAATTTTCTAAATATTTCTTAAAATAATAAAATTTAATTTTTATGAGTCAAAAAGACGTTAGATCACCTAAATTTGACGCAATTCATGAGCAAAGCTCATGAGTTTTGTTCTTAGGGCCATTTTGCTTGGGATATGGTTGTTAACGTGCTATTAAAACTCAAAAAACCTAAATAAGTCGTGAAAAACGACCATTTTGTAGAAAAAATAGAAAATGAGTTAAACCAAGATTCTAATAGAAATCACAATATTAGAAACAACCCAGCTGACAGAATCATCATCTAATGTTTCTATGAACTTGTATGAATTCAATAAAACTTTCCTAAAATAGCAAAATTTGATTTCTATGAGTCTAAACGAATTCGGATCACCCGAAATCTGACGTGATTTCTGAGAGTTTTCTTCGTCGGACCGTTTTGCTCGGGTTAGTGTTACTAGCGTGTTATTAATACAATAATACTAAAAAAAACCCGACTAACTTGCATAAATGACCATTTTGTAGAAAAATGTGAAAATGAGTTAAAAGTTAATTCTAATAGATCTCGCAATTTTAGAAGTAACACAACTTACGGAATCCTCATATGATTTTTTTATTAATAGATATGAATGTTCTAAGAATTTCCTAAAATAGTAAAATTTGATTTTTATGAGTCTAAACGAAGTCGGATTGCTGAAATATGAAGCGATTCACGAGCTAAGCTCAGGAGTTTTCTTCGTCGAGATATTTTGCTCGGGTTATTATTGTTAGCTTGCTATTTATACTAAAAAAATTCTAATAAACTGGAATAACGGCCATTTTGTAGCAAAATGCGAAAATGAGTTAAAATCTAATTCCAATAGATCTGCCAATTTTAGAATCAACACAACTGACGGAATTACCATCTGATGTTTTTGTGAATTGATATGATTTTTCTAAGATTTTCTGAAGAAAAACAAAAAGTTAATTCTTATGAGTCGAAACGACGTCGTATCACCGAAATCTGACGCGATTCATGCGTTATATCATGATTATTTTCCATCGGGCCATTTTGTCTGGGATAGAGTTATTAACGTGCTATTAATATTCAAAAAAAAAAAAAAACCCTAAAAAATAAGGAAGAACAATCATTTTGAAGAAAATGCGAAAATTGGTTAAAACTTCACTCCTATTAGATCTCGCATTTTGGTACGTTTCGTAATTGATGGGTGTGTTTGCGACACACTCCATAATTCACGAGTGCAAAGTGAACTTTGCCCTATATATTATATATACATAATAGATGGGAATCGTGTAATCTTGATTACTGCAATATAATTATAATTGAATATGATCTAAGCTAATTATTAATCTTTATTTTAAAAATATTAAATAAATAAATATTTGACTCGAACCTCGAACCTCGAACAGGCAGCAGCCCGACCAAAGTGATACACATACATACATTCATGCGCCAAAATATACGGCCTGTTATAGTCCGATAAAGTGTGGATAAACGAGCTCTCGTACATTCGAGTTGTTTACAAGAACAGCATAAGATTTAAAATGTATTCCTCAGTTAAACTGAGTGGACAAAAAATATGTGTCGGCCACAAAAAAGCTATCAAGACAGACACATTCCTCATTTTCTTCCCTAATTAATTATCTCAACTACTATTTTTTTTTCTTAATTTAATTTTTTTTTATTAAAAAAAAAAAAAAAAACCATGTTTTAAGGGAGAAATGGGATTTGCTTGTTATGTATAGGGCGTCGCCTTCTAACCCAATTATAATCCACTGTTAAATATTCTGATGCTCCCTTCCCTCCTGCTGCTTTTTTATTCACCACATGTTCCTTCTTTTTAGCTTTTTTTTTCTTGCCTGTTTATTACAAAATGTAACGTAAGACATAGAGTTCAAGAATAATGTAATAATATGGAAAAAAAAAAAAAAAAAAAACAGTTTGTATCATGAAGTTGAAATAATGAGTAATTTGATATAGAGTAAATTACGGTCACCCCTGAGATAAATGCTCAAATTACGAAAAAACCCCTCATGTTTGGGTAAATTACGCTGTACCCAGGGGCGGAACCAGGATGAAAATGTAGGGGGGGCTAACAAAAAATTTCGGGGATCGGGGCAGCGCCCCGAAAAAAAATTTAGGTTCACAATACATTGCAAAAATAAGTTTATATTGATATGTTTTCATTAAAATGTGATATATGTTATAATGTTATCGTATTTTAAGCATGACAAAAAAATCTAAATTAATTCAAATTATTCTAATAATGTATCGTACTTAATATTTTGGGGATTCATGGCATCGTCTCATATTAATTTTTAGAGTTATTGATAAAAAAATTCAAAAGTAAGTAAATAGTCATAAATTTTATTTCAAATAATACAAGTTTTTACCAATTTATTTTATATTTTTATAGATATATGGTATATATATATATATATATATATATATATATATATATATATATATATATATATATATATGGAGAAGGAGCTTTTTTCAAAAAAGGATGGACTTTGCCCGGATCCTCCCCTACTGAAGGAATTCTGTCTTTATTCACTAGTATTTGTAAAAACTTTAGGGGGGCCAAAAGTAATATTCGAAAAATATAGTACCAAAATACCTAAAAAAAAAAAAAATTTAAATCTTGGGGGGTCAACAGCCCCCCCTAGCCCCTATTAAGTTCCGCCAGTGGCTGTACCTGATGAAGCTTCCATCAACTTCTCTAGCGGCATGTGCCTATTTTCACCGAAACTCTTCACCTATTAATTAGCAGAAAAGAACCTTAAACTCGATCGTCGAAAATCAGTTAAAAGTTGTTGTTGTTGTAAGATCATAGGAAGAACAAAAAAAAAATGAAAATCATACAGATGATGAAGCCTCTTCTTGAAGTTTGAGTTTCCTTGGCAGCAAAGGCAGAGTTAGTTTGGCTTGATGAACTCCATAATTAACTGATCAAAAAATAAAATCTAAGAATTATTTTTATGATTAAATATCTACAAAAGAATATGTAACAGCAATATTTATAATTACCATTTTGGACATGAGTTACATGATCAGAAGAACAGGATGCAAACTGAATTAAGACTGCTACACATAATGCAGCTATAATAAGATTCATTAATGCCATATATATATAAGCTTTATTTTCTACTTGTTTCTTTAAGCTTTGTGAAGCTAGCTTGTAATATATACATATATATATATATATATATATATATATATATATATATATATATATATATATGTATGTATAGACAAATTAAAGTGAGAAGAACATACACAAAGCACAAAATCAAGAGTCCACAAAACAAGTACACAAATAACCCTATATTTTATTACATCACTTTTTTGGAAACTCCACACTTTGAATTGGTTCACTTGTCACCTAGCTAATTACATGGTGGGCCCACAAAATAGCCTCTAGTTTTTTTTAAGACGATCGAATCAAGTATTGCGTTTATTTAATGCTGCACTCGATGAAATTCTCCGGAATTTTTTTTTTCGCGTATTGACGAAAGATTATTTGAAAAGTTTAGCCAGTAAATCCCCTGCTTTTGGTGACGAGAATATTAGAATTTTATCAGTTATATTTGTGAACTATATTACATAATAAAACACCTCAAAACGGGCACGAAAATTGAATAAATCGATAAATTTTGTTCCAAGAATTTTAAACAAAAATCCCCCGGCAAGCGGACTCGGAGAAGCGATAATAATGCAAACCAAGCCTAGGAAAAAAATATATATCAACATGTATGAATAAATAGCAGCAACCCCACAAATCCTTACGATTTAAAAATTTATCATCGTATATCTGCACTAATATAACAACCTAGTACCAATTGTCCGAAAAAAAGAACCCTTCAAAATCTACAGCAAAGAAGGCCTGATCTCCATCCCTTGTGTTTCCGAAAATCTCTCCCGACACCTTCTTTCGGTATTCTCTCTGGACTGCTATTCCATTCCTCTTGCAATCTGTCATTTTTTTTAGAGAGAGAATATTCCATGAGTCAGAAAATGCACTAGCAAGAGTGATGATAATAATAATAAGAAAGAGAGACGGATCGAAAAAGTTTTTATTACACTGGAAAAGCGAAAGATCTGCCACTAGTTGCACTGCCGTCGGATCGATGGGAGATGCTTCCGGAATATGCTGCTGGACCCGAGAAAGTGATAAGACCACCAGCAGAGAAGCTCGTCTCTCCTTCGTCCCGCTTCAGAAAATTCGATCCCCCAAGAGTGACCTCACTATTCACCGAATTTACGCTCTTGCCACTAGAAGAAACACCATCATCACTACTAGATTCTTTAGCAACGCTCGGAATTGTTTTTGGGGTTACAATTTCCATTTCCAATTTATCAACTTTCTTGGTAGTGGAAGAATAATCGTCGGAAAAAACAAAAACATCGTCGGCTGTTTTGAGGGGTTTTTCTTCTTCGATTTCTCCTATGCTAGTAGTAGTAGCATTTGAGGGATTGCCTGAGCCAATAATAGACTGTTCCTCGATGTTTTCAGTTACCGGTTTCGTAACGCCAGCTGGCGCTGGCGCTGGTGCTGGCGATTTGAAATTGAAAGTAATGCTGCCATTTTCGACTTTACTCTTGAAAGATAAGCTACTTGCTTGCACATGATCTCCCTTCGGCCCTGCTTCTGACGAAGAAATCTCCTGAAAATAAATTCACCATTTTCACATAACCAAATTTCCATCTGTATATAAACTTCAGAACAAGATACGTAATACACGACTATATATATAAAAAAAAATTAAAAAATTAAAAAAGAGTACAAGACTAAATTATTGGGATTTTCTTGAAATAATCACCTTAAAGCACCAATCTTTATACCAAGAAACGAAAAAATTACCTGATCTTGCAGATGTTCGACTTTAAAACTATTATTATTAGTACTATCGTCACCATCAAAAGAATTTATAAAAGATCTGAGAAAACTCCGCGTGCCGAATTCTTGAATCGGGAGAGTTTTATCCACGAAAGATCTCTTTTCCGAAGCATCGATCAAAGTCGGGTTTTCTGACGGCGGGAAAGCTGGACTTTCCTGACCAAGTAATTTGTCTCGGCTTTCTTCTTCGCTCCCATCCTCTTCGACAGGAAAGATAATAACCTCCACCCTATTCGTATTGTCCGATGATGACGTGGCGAACTCGTCAGACACAAAAACTTCCATATCGGAAGCTTCTTCTGTATTATTATCATCATCATTCACAGACATATTCATGCGTAAATCCTCCACAACATGATAATTGATCTCTTTGTAGCAAACTATAATCTCTGGCTTTTCGTATTCCGATTCATTCTCATCGTCGTCGTACGGCTTCGTGTCCGTCTCGAACAAATCGACAGGAGAGATAAACGGAGAACTCTCACTCGAAAGTATGTCCGTAAACTCCTCGACTGTCAAAGGATATTCTTGCTCTTTCTCTTCTTTCTCTTTAGCATTTGTTCCGAAAGATTCCGAATCCACATCATCATCCTCCTCCTCCTCGAAACTGCTCGGACGACAAACGGGCCTAATTTGATCCGTCATAAGATTTTCAAGATCCTTGTCCGAACACAACGAATCTTCTTCATCCTCGTCCAAACTGCTTACACGGCACAAGGGCCTAATTGTAATTTCCTCTCCCGTAGAATTTCCTCTCCAAAGCTCGTCGGTACGTCCTTTTGCATCGAATAATGGAGGATTTGTTTCTCTTACATATATTTCTTTATTACTCTCGAACGAGACCAGAGGAGGAACATCCTCTCTCTGTAAAGTTTGAGATTGGTAAAGCGTCGGGTTTTCCTTCATTGTTGTGTCTTGTTCAGCTGAGTCATAGACACTGTCGTAAAATAATTTTTAAATAAGTTCTTTATTTTACCGATATTGAGAAAAATGCAGTAATGAAATAATAGTATTTTTTTTTTAATCGAAAATCGAGAGACGGAAATACTTACCAGCTTTCACGCTTCGCATCACTCGGGATGGTTTGGAGAATTCTCAGTAATTGTGAAGCAAACATTCATAGGCAGGTATTCAAATACTCGACTGAGAAATAACAAACGAAAATTCATCGTAAATATATATTTATATATATACACAGATGAAGTAAATCGAAAGAAAAAAAATCCTAAACGATTAAAAAAACAGCACTGTAAATAAATGTAAATCAATTAATTATTTTAATTACTAGAAATGTTAATCATCGAAACTATCTGTTATTCGCTGATAATTCAAGAAAACAGTTGAAATGCATAGATTCGTCGACATATATGCATTATTCACCATTTAGATTCCCGACGAAGATGAAGTAAAATCCGATACGAAAACCTAAAAAAAATCTATTACCTCAGATTTTTCTGTGCAAGAACAGAACCAAAAAAAATAGCAAATCTCGAGGCGTAAAACAATAGCAGCAAATGAATGTGTATGTATCGAAAAAACCCCCTTCACTCGTATATTATATGTAAAAGTATAGATTAACATTTCAAAATTTTCGGGGGGAAGAGCAATTATCTTTATTTATTTAATATAGGCATAAAGAGAATTCTTGAGCTTTGGAATCTTAACTTTGTCTAAATGTAAGGAAGAAGACAAGAAAAGGTCACCACTCTGTCTTATAAAAACAAAATTGCTCAATTTTCAAACTAAATCAATATTTCTTGATTTAAATTATAATTAACTAATTCTTTTAATATTTATATTTGTGATCTAAATTTCTATTATTTATTATTTACCCTCTCCTATAATCAATCTCACTTGCTACAAAACAGAATTTGATATAAAGCCTGACTTCTTACAGATTTGGTTTAATCTGATCCCAATTAAAAATTAAAAATTAAAAAAAAAAAATTGAGAATAAGAACAAGAAAAATATGAATATTAAATAAAATAATAATTATTTCTTCTTTACCTCTTGGGTTTTATAAATTCACTGCAAATTCCTTCCTTTTTCACTGCAACATTTTCAGAGGGGATGATCAGCTTTAAACCCAATAAAGACGAAATAAATCCAAATTCAAAAATTAAAATACAAATAAAATTAAAATAAAATGAAAAATCCAATATCCAGTAGATCAGTTAATACACGGATCACAATTAAAACGATGAACTAATTTACCCAGACGCAAACGAACAAATAACGCAAATCAATGCGCCATTTGTTGAAAACTAAATACTGTGTGTTTTCGTGTGTTTGTGTGTGTGTGTGAGAGAGAGAGAGGAGAGAGAGAAGAGAGAGAGAGAAACCAGATTAGTTCTGCTCCAGTTAGTTGTGAAAAAAAATTGCAACTTTTTTTTTCTTTAAAAAGTAGAGAGAATTTGGTGGCGAGGGCTCAGCCGGCTAAATGTTCGTTTGACTTGAACAATATTAATATATAGATACAACAATTACATACATGATACATGTACCCCGTAGATAGATACATCCTCTCTCTCTCTCTCTCTATCTCTCTCGCGTCAAGAAGGAGATTTCTAGAGAGAGAAAATAGTGGGAGCAATATGTGTAGACAGTCGAAAGGCAATAAAAAGAGAGTTGCCACCCATCAACACCTAAAATAGTCAACTCCTGCTTTCTCTCTCTAAATATACATATGTATACATATAAACGGTAATAAAATGGCGATTAATTATTAGGATTTTTTATTTATGATAAAAAATTCCCTTATTTTGTTTGTTTGTAATACGGCATCGTTTCAGTCTAATTAGGGCAGAAGATCGTTACTAGTTATTGCATGTAGATCCCTCGGGATAAATAATATTGTAAATTAGTTAATAAAGTTAATGGGATTTGGGGAAAATTCTGACAGTGGATTCTGTGAAGATTTTCCTTTTTTGCCCCCATTATGAAAAATCCCAGTTCTTTGGACTAGGTGGAGGAATTAGCTATAGTCGATGATGCCCGGAAACTTCGGTAATTATTTATTTTGGAAACGTTTTGGAAATCGAAATATCATAATGCATGCCATAAATGTTTTGGGATCGTTTTCTAAATATTTAAAAGTTTAGGGATGTTTGTGGTAAAAGTGAAACAATGAAACGTTTTTCTGCCCCAAAAACAAATCCAAAATTCGTTTTAACTAAAGACTTGGAATTCCCTTTGCTTGAAAAAAGCTTAAATTTTATGTTTATTTTTCACATCTAACAGTGTTTTAATATTGTTTTGATGCTAGTTCCGTGATAATAAGTTTATATGCCTTTGCATATATTTTATCGAATGATAATTTGGATTGGAACTTGTAACCTATGCATAATTTGTCGATACAAATATGTAATTGATAATAAGTATATATGTTAACGTTACAATATCTTTTTAGAAATTATGGATATATCCCTATATTTACACGTTCTCGTATCTATTTTTTTGGAAAATGGGAATTTTCTGTTTCGCAGTGTCTGCGTTCCTGTGTTCGTGCTACATAAGCTATAGTTTATACTTTATGGTACAATATGCTCGTATTTTCGTTATAATATATTATTTTGTTTTATTAATAGATATTATCTAATGGCTTTGATCAATCTATGCATAAGATATGTTGATAAAATAAAATATAAATCCATTGCCTTTTTATATAAAATATAACTCAAGTAATACATACAACTTCATGTAACTAAATCTTAATTGTGGATGACATTCAATATCAAAGAAATCATCTCAAATTTTTATTTTAGGATAAAATTTAATTTTTCAGGTTATGAATTTGGTGTGCTTTATTAAAAAAAAGTAAAAAACAAAATAATTAATTATTTATTTATTTCCAATGAGTTTAGTTGGTCGATGTTGTTTTGGCTTTGAATAAAAGTAAGTCATGAATCATGGATACACACACAAAATGGCATATTCTGGTGGATATGTATTTTCTCTTATTTTTTTTTAATTTAATTATTTTGGAATTTTAAATTGATTTTGGAGCCACTAATATTCAATATGCTTAACATGTCTTTGCCCATCCTATTAAGTATCAATATACTAATATTGACATTATAGATTTTTTTTAATTGTAAAAGTCACAAACATTTGAAGGGATCTGGCCCAATTAACTATATTTAATTACACATAAATAATTGTATTTCATTTCAAAATATGAATTAATTATATAATACATATGCTGAGTTCCATAATGATTTAATCATTTAATGTTCAATATGATCTGTTGCAGGGAATAATATGATCGTTTCATTAATTACATTATTATACAATTTTTTTTTTATTTTTTTTGAAATAGTATACAAGTTGAATATATACAATTAAATGGAAAATTGCAGCCTTTTTGTGCAAAGACAAAAAAAACACAGAAGGAATATTGAGAACAGCAATACTGACTTGTGATGACAAATGGACAAATTTTGGGGGACAGTTTTTCTGCCTTTTCTTATTTTGTTCCTCATTTTAATTTGTTTATTAAATATATATATTGGACAAATTAAATTCCATATCTAATATATATATACCCTATGGGCTATGACAGTGAAATGGTCGGCCAATGTTTCCTAAGTATGCACTCATCTTGAAACAACGAACTAACGAACGGGCAGTAACCGATTCAAGATTTTAAGTTCACGAGGACCGAATGCATTAAAAAAACTATGAGAGGAGGTCATTAATGCTTTTATAAATATTTTTTTTAATATATATATACATGATTAATTAGTTTATAAGATTTTAATTTATTTAAATTCATTGAATTAATAGTTACAGCTAACTTTAGGTAAATACACTTCTTGGGCCATTTGGGCACATATCATATCAAATTCGTCTGTATAACTTTACTATATTTCAATTTTTATTTGGAGGGAATAAGTTTACTACAGGCCCATCTAAGTAACTTTAGGCCTACTAGAAAAATATTTTAGGCCCAATAGACAAAAAAAGGCCAAAAAAATTATAGAGGCCCAATAGACAAAAAAGAGGTAAAAAAGTTATAAATAAATGTTGCTGCCCAGGATCGAACTGGAGACCTTTAGTGTGTAAGACTAACGTGATAACCACTACACCACAGCAACTGATTGTGGTGATTTTCTTGATTTAACATCCATAATCGGATGACAATATGAAGGACAACCCCACATTTTTCTGTAGCGGAGGAGATCTCGAAACGATACGTGTGGCTTCGGTAATCTGAGCGGCCTGGAAGTTAACCGGGGCGGGAAGCTGTCGTCCGGTGAGGAGAACATGGGGTTTTTCCGGCTGGAAGTTGTCGGAAATTGAAGCAATTATTGATTAACCGAGAGACTAGGCCACGGAAAAAATATTACAAATACAGTAGAGCCTCAATAAATTAATAACTTCGTTTAAATAATAATTTCTTCTGATTCTTACTCGGTAAAAACATATTAAATTATTAGTTCCATAAACTAATAAAATTTTGCTAGTGTCGACTGCATTAATTTATAGAAGTCTAACTATAGTTATGTATAGCCAGGTGATAGACGAAAATTCAAACTTAAAAAAACGAAGAGAGTATTACAAAATAATTAAATATCTGTTGTAATTTATTTTTCCAAATTCCAGCAATATGTAAGTAATTCCAGTAGTCATAAAAGTAATTTACTTTTCCAAAATTCCAGTAATATAACAGGTAATTTATTAAAAAAAAAAAGGTAAAAACAAAATAAAAGGAAGGTGAGACAAATTAATTCCCTATATAATAAGACCCAAAAATCCTCGTGAATTGCGTGGAAGTTGAACCAAGTCAGAATTACGACTATCGCCACACCGTTTTTTACTTTCTCCAGACCACCACCCCTCGTACCTAAACGCAAATTGTCCACGCCAGTCAAAATTTTCTCACGTCACTCCGTGCTAAGTTCTCTCCAATTCAAAACCCCCCTTTCTTCAAATTTCAATTCCCGTTGAGCAGTTCTCAATTATTCCTCTCTCTCTCTATCGTGTAATTCTTATATGTAGATTCCTCATCGCTGATTCTATTGAGCCCCTTATCTCTTTGGTCAGGTATTTATTTTTTTCAAATTTCAATTTTTTTTTGAGATTGTAATTGGATTTTGTGCCTTTTTTGTTCTTTGTAACGGATTTCGCAATTTGAATTAGGGTTCGTGATCTTTTTAATGTGCCCGTTGATATGATTGGGGTTTTGCCGATTAGTTAGTTCTGGTTTCTGATTAGGGTTTGAATTTTTGTGGGCAGCTTTACTATCGTATTTGGTGATCTATTAGTGTAAGTTTTTTTCCTTATTTGGCAATAATAGTGTGTATTTCATGAACATGCTGAGCAATTCAATCATTTATTGGATTATAAGTTGTGCCCAAATATGCTGTAATCTTATGTAGTTTAGTTGCAAACTCTCTCTTTGCAAGAAGAGAATCGATTTGCGTTTGTGGGTTTTCTGGGTAAGTTTTTGGATTGTGTGTTTGGGTTGCGAGTGACTGAATAACACAATTTTAAGCTATTTTTGAATTTCTTATTGAGTTCGATATTAATCTAAAAATGGGTTTTCCTTTTCATTGATCGTTTTATTTCCACTGCTATTTTGATTTAATTTCTATTCAAATTTAAAGGAAGTAATGTAATTCATATAAACAAAGGCTTAGTTTTATATGCATTATAAAGTAGCACAAATTCTCGGAAGATTAGTGTTGGTTGAATATATTTTCCGAAATAACTTAATCCCTTTTTGATAGACCTGCATAGAAATATGCCATGATGTGAATTTCTATCATTCGTGGAAAGACGTGCATAGAAATATGCATCAAACACTCCATTCTTTCCTTGTCCTGAGTGTTCCGTAAAGAAAGTAAACTTGGTTGTAGCTTCATATATGTCTTGATTATCTTGAATATGGTGTTTCTTGGCATTTCCTGTCAATGCAAAGCTAACATCTTGTTTTTCGTACAGTAGCAAATGAGGGGAATGACCTTGGGTAAATCACGTGGCAGACCCCGTTCAACGGAGAAAACATTGAGAAGGTGCAGGAATAACGAGGAAGCTGATCATGTTATTCTGATAGATGGCGATTCTGAAAATTGGGACAATGTTATTTTCATCGACGTTCCTGAATCTTTGCCGAAGAAAAGTCAAGGTTCGAGCATCCTTAATAAAGACAAGAGGTGTTCGATTAGGAATGTAATATACATTGATGATGATGATGTTGATGATGAAGATGAGGCCACTGACAGTAACCATTCTGATGGTGTGAACAATGTCGATTTTGCTGCAGGCACTTCTTCTAATAGAGAATCTTGTAAGAACTCTGCAGATTCTAGATTTGCTCAAGATAATGCAACTCCGGTTAGGTTATCGAAATGCAAACGGACCTATTCTGGGAAAGCTGTCACAAGAAACTGCTATGGTTTAGATGCCGACGCGGAAAGCGAGTCGTCGGATAATGATCTTCCTGACTGTGTGTTAGTGGAAGATTCTACCGAACTTCAACAGATGTGGGAGAAAGCTTTCACCAGGAGAAGAAAAAATATTCCCAGTGGTCATTCAGATGTTAAGGATCGTGATAGTACCGCACATATTATCGACGACCACCACCAAAATATTGAAACAAATGATGCTTCATCTCCGTTTAGATCAGCAGATGATTTTGATAGACCGAATTGTGAGCCAGGAATTTCGAGCAGTCACGTTGAGCAAACGGCGGAAGAACAAGATTCATGGAATTCTGCTTTCAAGGACTGTGAACAGTCAACTAAGGAAACTTCCGAAGTGCAACCCGGCCAACCAAATCTCAAGTCGTGTGGCAAATCCACACCTAGTAAACAGGGGGAGGATAACGATAGCCAAAATGAAGACACTTTGCCATTTGTTGAGACTTGTATATTTAATGAACGAGAAAAGTTTAAGGAAACTGATGAATACAAAAGGGCAATAGAGGTAGAGTGGGCATCGAGGCAACAAGCTCTTCAAATCCAGGTTTGCAATCTTCACTGTTTTCCTATTCCTTTATTCTTCAGCATTTGGCTTAGTTTTCATTCATGTAGTGTTTGATCCGTGCTTTTTCAAGAAACAGAGGAAATCTGCACGTTAAGTTTAAGGGGTTCAAAGATGCAAGGTTTCAGTTGTAACTAATAGTGCTTATCTGAGATCAATTGTGCTCTGTGTGGTGACTGCGATTGGCGAATTTCCAACGTTTTGCGATAACAAGAAAGAATGATATGAACTCTGTTTATTTTTCTTTCCCCTTGATTCAGAGGAAACTTTAGTTTATATACTTCCAGGGTTTCGGTTTTCAGTGTTCAGGGTTTCGGTTTCAGGGTTTTAGGCTTCAGTCCCTTTTTTTAAGGGTTTAGGGTTTAGGGTTTCGGTTTCGGTAAAAAACACCGCGAGAGATATTCGAGTTCTTTTATGTTTTCAAATACTCGTTTTCAGTTTAATTTGCAGTTCCATCTTGATCGACATTCTACCATTAACATGTTATTGCTTTTTTCATGGTTGTCATTTCCTTTAGTAACTAACATGATATCATCTACTATCTTGTGCTATCTCGTGATGATCTTATTTCACTCTAAAGATATCCGGAATATAATTTGCTTGCGTTTCTTTTATTTGTATAGGCTGAAGAAGCACAACATCAGAAGCGGATGCGGAAGAGATTAAAAGCTGAGAGCATGCGTTTGCTAGATATGGAAAGAAGGCAGAAGGAGCGTGTAGAGGAAATGAGGAGTATTCAAAAGAAGGTCCGTTTTTCGATTTTACTCTGTTATTTTTTTGAAGGTAATTTCAGTAGATATAGGTTGAGTTTTTCTAACGAGAATGCTATTTAAATATTATATTTTTTAGGATGAGGAAAATATGAACATGAAGGAGATAATACGAACCCAAGTTAGGAAGGAGCTCAGTATTCTCGAAACTACATGTTACAGTATGGCTTTTCTATTGCATTCGTTGGGAATAAATGTCGGTGGTTGGCCAAATCCACTGCCACAAGAGGTATGCTACACTTTCTTTATTTATGGGAGAGTAATTTAATTATTTTTTCTTGAAATAAAAGTTTATTACTATTTCTACAAAAAGAAAAAACGGTGTGAAAAGTAAACAAATTAAGCCGATAAAAGATTATAGAACAAAACTTTAGCAGCGTTTGGTTGGTGAGATAAGTCATGGTTGATTTAATAATTAGGTCTTAATTTATGTTATTGGATGCAGGTACAAACAGCGTACAAAAGGGCATTACTGACGTTTCACCCCGATAGAGCCTCGAAATCCGATATTCGTCAGCAAGTTGAAGCGGAGGAGAAATTTAAACTTATTAATCGTTTGAAAGAGAAATTTTCATCTTTATAACACTCACCAAAACATTTTTGTGCAGCTGTAAAAACATACATGATTGTCAATCCTGCTTCTCACAGGGTAGATAAACATCAATGTTCGTGAAAGAAATTCGATTTTTTTATTTATTGCTCGGGTTTTTTCTTTAATATATTAAATTCCTTCAAAATTTATTATTTTTATTTCGTTTGTCATTTAATTTGTGGCAAATATATGACAATCAAATGTATATTACATTATTCAGACAAACAACAAAAGGGAAATCACATTACTATCAAAGCGCGTGCAAGACGACTTTAACGCCGTGCTGTGGGCGAAGGCTCATGATTTGAACGGGCGAGTGCACGTAATTGGGAGACAGTGTGATTGTATAGCGCTGCAGAATCATACACAGTGCGATCTTCGCCTCGTTGGTGGCGAAACTCATGCCGACGCACGTGCGGGGCCCGAGCCCGAACGGCGAGAATGCAGCCGGAATATTCTTGGTGGCTTCGGCGATCCCTTTCGAGAACCTTTCGGGTTTGAATAGATGTGCGTCGTCGCCCCAAATTGCGGGGTCGTGATGTAGGGCTAGGATTGGCATGTTGATTTTTGTGTTTGGCGGGATGATTAGATTCCCTAATTTGGATGTCTTGGTGGTTTTCCTTTCGTTGATTGGGACCGGAGGGTATAGTCGAAGGGATTCGTTTATGATCATGCTCATCTGTAATCAAAACCATGTAATCAAAACCAGATAATTGCAGAGGAGTTGTGTTATAAATTTAGGGGTGGAAATTAAATTTATTTATTTTCAAAAGAGAAACTAATTTCAATTATGTTCCAAAATAGAGAAAATCGGAAATCAGAATTTCGGAAAAAACTTGGTCCCAAAATCGGAATTTTTTGAATATGAATATGTGGAATTCGGAATTTTCATTTTTGTTGGCACCTATAATACAAATAAGTGTAGTTTTCGGGAAAAAATGCGATTTTAAAAAATATACACGAAAAATTAAAATCGAATTGGAAATTGGAATATGATATATGTATTTTAATTATTTTCCGGAAAAAAAAATTGGAAAATCAGAAATCAGAATTCAGAATGAAAAACATTATTCCAAAATCGGAAAATTTCGGATCAAAATCTACGGTATTTGAAAATTTCGTTCCAAGTTCTATCCCGAATTATAGTAAAGTTGGTAAGGGACCGTAAAACGATTCACCTGATCAAACATCAGTTTATAACTTTTAGATGAAGTGGTCATTCAGCACAGTCTTCCTCAAATTGCAAGCTGAGTTATTTTTGTTATCATAATATATAATCAAGTTCATTAGAATCGGATTACCGTTTTGAGTTTTGAAAGGCCCTCGGAATTTGGATTGTGGGGCCCGAATACCTCGAGCACCTCTTGGCGGGCCTTTTCTTGCCATTCGGAGTCGATAGCAAGAAGAAGAGCGGTCCACGAGAGCAAAGTGGACGTGGTTGCATGTCCAGCACTGTAAAATGTCTTGCATTCGTCTATTATTTCTTGAACGGAGATTCTCTTTTTTTCAACGGGATCGTGATTCGCCCTCAAAAGGGACCCGAGATAATCGTCGCCAAAACCATGTTTTTCATGTGCTTCTCTCGTTGTCTCTTTTTTCCTTTGATCCAAAATCCGCAGGAAAAAATCTTGAATTTCCTTCTCCATTTTGTCCGATTCTCTATCGTCACTATTCTTGAAAAGATCACTGCATAAAGAAATCGTCACTATTCTGTATCCGTTTTTTGTTTCTTTTTAATTTAGAAAAAAAACTATCACTTTTACGAACATCAACATGTATATGTGCGTGATCGACCGCGTTACCTTATTACAGGGATCTTAGTCTTGTATGCATTTCTGCCGGTAATGATTGACAACTGTCTCAACATATTGAAAACCTTCTCCCCTTGCGAATAACTGCTCCCGAATGCCGTTTTCGATATCATTTCGGATGTCATAAACGTGAACTCTTTGCTAATATCCACTTCCCTCGTTTTCTCCTCTCGCCATTTCTTCATCATCATTTCCACGCTTTCTACCATTGCCGGTACCATATTCTGCATATATAATGCATCATATATGGAGGCCTTCGCAAAACGATACTCTCCGAAGATTTTTTTTTTAATAACAAACTACCCCCGAAAAACTATTTTCTAGCAAACTACTCCTAAAAAATGCATTGTAAGGGGGGATTTTAGCTAATATGAACGGAGAGTTTTTTTAGCAATTCAATATAATACAGGGGTACTAAATGTCATAAATGCACTCATTTTTGGTTCTTTGTATCTCGGGTAATTTAGTTCGATTTACCTTCAAATTTTCAGCGTGGAAGGCTTGATTGGCGAGTTTCCGTAATTTGACCCATTTTTCACCTTCACTTGCTACAATACCATCTCCGATGATCTTTCTCATATATTTGTCTGGGTCGGTTCTTGAATATGATTCACTCTTGTTTAGTACTTCCTTAACAAGCTCCGGTTCTGTAATAACTAATTCGGCTTTCTCCCCGTTCCAAAAATAGAATACTTTTCCTGTTTTTTTTTTTTTTTTGATAAACGAGTGTCGAGTAAGCCAATGGTAGAAGCAACACCGAATAATAAGTACTATTACATTGAAAAACAAAAAAAAATTACCGTAAATATTAATCCACGTATAAAAGTGAGGCATGGTTCTTGAAAATATGTCATGGTTCAGTTCCATGTTTCCTCGCATGGAATTCGACTTCATACTCGAGATTTCGACTGTGTTGCCACGTACGAACTTGTAAGAAGGGCCTTTAATGCCTTGAAGTTCCATTGCGTACTGCGTGCGCAGTGGGGCCCACCATACTCGGTGGAGAAACTTTGCCAAAAGTGAGAAAAAGTAAAGAATTGCAAGGCCGAAAACAAGAAAACCGATCGACATTTTCTTCGTTTGATTTTCTGTGTACACAGTTTTAAAGAAGAAAAACCAAAACTTTCTGGTGAATTTATGCACGTTGAGAATCAATAGCTTGTAAAATAAAGACTGTATAACTCTTATTTTATGTAAATGATTTCGATGTTTTTGGTGTTTTTCGGTGACTTTTTCGATCGATTTGATGCCCTTTTTTTTCTTCTTGTGTTTTGTAACATTGGCCAGCTAAAACAATTAATATATAATCAACACGAGAAAAATTAGTTAATTAAATTAGTATCAACCGTCCTGAATAATGTTGGTTTTGGCTTCAAGCAAATTCTTCTATTGAAAAAACATAAAAGAATAAGTCAAATGATCTTACAAAGTTGATATGTAAGAGAAAGACATGATTTGAATCCATATTATTAAAACAAAATAACAAATCTCTAGAAATTACTAATAAGCTCTGTTTCTTGAGAATCAACTTCGAAAGAACAAAAATTCAAAATATTCGGAATTATTTTCGAAAATTAAAATGGGATCGGAGACTATAGTCTTGATCTAGAAAAAAATATGAATATGAAAATTGTTGTTCCAAAATCCATGACTGCAAGAAATATTGATATTAGCGATGTTGAATGCAGACGAATTACATTTAAAGCCTTAAACATTGGAACACAAACTCAGGACAGCATTTAGCCTGACTGAGCTGACTCTAATACCATATTGAATAACCACCACAGTTAAAAGTTTAAGCAGTTATTAAAATTTATTATTATTTATTTAATATTAATATCTCCAATAAGCGATACCCGATTGCGACAATATTTAAACCTATCACAAAATGCTTACAAAGCTTACATTAAGTGAAAACATTTTATATATCGTCCGTCACTAATAGACTTTTCGTTGTCGCTAAATCGTTCTTTATTTTTGTTTCGTCCTCTCTCAAATCGAATCTTTGTTCACTTCTCATCAAACCCATAATCGGAACATATTCTGCAGTAAGAAACCTTAAATATTTGTTCAAAGATTCAAACTTTGGTAGGTTAGTAAATAAATTATCAAATGCCAAATATTATTACACAACAACTCATAATGTAATTTTCCTATGTAGAAAGTGAAATAGTTTTAGTACTCACTCACTTTTTCTCCGTGTCTACAATGGCTGCAGCAAGATCTTAACACCGTGCTGAGGCTGAGCCGTGAGTACTATGTAAGGCGAGTGGACGTAATTCGGCGACAGTGTGAACTTATACCGTTGAAGAATCATCGAAAGTGCTATCTTCGCCTCGTTACTAGCGAAGTTAAGGCCCAAGCATATTCGAGGCCCGTAACCGAATCCGAGGAAGGCTGTCGCGTTGCCACCGGTCGCTTTAGCCAACCCTTCGGCAAATCTGTCCGGGTTGAAAAGTTGACAATCTTGTCCCCATATATCGGGATTTCGGTGCAGGGACAGAGGTGGAATTACCAGATTTACATTAGCCGGAAATTCGTATTTTCCTAAACCGACTTTGCTGTCGGTTCTTCTTGTGATAGCAATCACGGGACTGTATAGCCGCAGCGTTTCGTATACTATCATGCTCATCTACATATTAGAGAGAGAGAAATAAATTATTTGAAAATTTTGAAGACGTAGCATTTCATTAGAGTTTATTGCATTTAATATCCCCGAAAAAAGTCCTTCAGTTATTAATATAAGCAAAAGAAACCCCTATAATGCATTTTTTGTTTCACACAGACCCCTAAATAGTGAGGTTTTAGGGGTAGTTTGCTGAAAAAGTTGCATTATGGGGTGTTTGCTAATATTTAATAACACAGGGACTTTTTTTTAACAATTAGAGTAAATACAGGGGTGCTGAGTGTAATAATCCCTTTTACTTATATAATGAAATCGGGGTTTATGGCATTTAACACCCTTTTTTTCCTCTAATTGCTATAAAACTCCCTGTGTTATTTTAATAGCAAAAAAACCCACATAATTCAATTTTTTCTAGCAAACCCACCCCTAAAAACTCACTATTTAGGGGGTTGTTTGCTAAAAAATGCATTATAATGGTTTTTTGTGCTAATATCAATAATAAAGGGACTTCTTTAGCAATTCGATATAACACAGGGGGTACTAATGCAATAAACTCAATGAAATTGCAATATTTTGGCATGATTTTGCTTACAGTCTTTAATCTTGAAATCCCTTCGGAAACCGGATTTTGTCGACCGAATAATTCGAGCACCTCGTTTCTCGCTCTCTCTTGCCAATCCGTGTTGATTGCGAGAAGAAGCACGGCCCACGATAGCAAGCTGTAAGTCGTTTCTTGCCCAGCAAAGTAGAAAGTCTTGCACTCGTCGATTATTTCCAATGCCGAAAGTTGATTCTTTTTATCAATATTATGGTGAGCTTTCAAAAGTGATCCAAGAAAATCACTCCCAAAATCTTTCGATTTTCCTATTTTCACTTCGTCTTGTCTCCTATTCACCATTTCCACGATTGAATCGTGAAGCGACTTCTCGATTTTGTCCGCTTCAATCTCATCCTTTGTTCTTGCAAATTTTCTGCAAATTAAACCAAGCAGCTTCAGATATCATATATGCGGAAAATTACACTTTTCGTCCCTCAAGTTTACCTCGATTTTACATTTGGTCCCCTTGTTCACAAGAAACAAATTTAGTCTCTTATTTTCAACAATTTAACACTTTCAGTCATTTCCGTCAAGTCATTTCCGTCAGTACTGACGGAATCAAGCATATGTCCGTTACTGTCTTAACTGATGGACTAACGATAAATTGACAGAAAGGACAAAAAATGTTAAATTATTCAAACACGAGGGACTAAATCTATCTTTTTGTGAACAAGGGGACTGGATGTGTAAACGAGGTAAACTTGATGGACCAAAAGTGTAATTTTCCCATAAAATATTACAACAACAATTATAGCTGCTAAATTTGAACAAACATTCGCAAACAATCACAATCGAAAAAATGTAGACAATACAAGAAACGAACATACTGCAAGACGGCAAGTCGGATGTTGTGAGAATTTCTGGATGCTAAGACACCTAGCTTAGTCAGCATATCGAAGATCTTTCTACCTTCGACATAACTGCTCCCAAAAGCTGTTCTGGAAATCACTTCCGATGTAAGAAGCCGAAATTCCGAGCACACTTCGATCTCTTTGCCCTCGTGGCACTTAAATTTCTCCAGCATAGCTTCCACACTTGCAACCATTGATGGAAACATATCCTACCACAACCAATACGAAATCAAGAAACACGAACATATATATTACTACGGTTGGAAACTGGAACCGTTACAAAAAAAATCCCAAATTTGGAAACAATGGTTTTCATTCCGAATTCCGAAAATTTTGATTTCCGATTTTTTCGATTTGTTTTTGAATCGGAATTGGAATGTGTACGAGAGTCCGATCTCTGATCCGATTTTAGTTTCTGAAAATAATTCATAAAATTACACCTATAATATCAATATAATTGCGCATTTTAATTTAGGGTAAATTATGAAACCCCCCGAATTTTAGGCTAAATAACAAAAAACATCCCACCTATTCGTAATTACCAAAAAACCCCTGAGGTTATTTTTGTCTTACACCAACCCCTTATAGTGTAACTGTTCACGGATTTTATTTTATTTTTTCCAGGGAATAGACTTTACACAATTTTAGATTTTTATTTTCTCACCTATTGAACATAAGGTATAATAGACTGTACAAAATTTATGTTAAAAAACTCGATCAACAGTTAATCAGAGGGGAATTTGGGTTATTACATATAGATTGGGGTGTTTTTCATTATTTAGCCTAAGTTCAGGGGGTTTTTCGTAATTTACCCTTCAAATTTCAGGCTAACAAAAAACGGAACTTTCGAATTTCACTAATTTAAATCCGAAAAATCCCGATTTCAGAACCAGAGTTTTTCATTTCAATTTCCAAAAGTCCGATTTCCGATTTTTTTTTTCTCCCAAAAATGCTAATTCAGATCCGATTCGTCCGATTTCGACCCCAAGCTATGATCTATCGAACAAAATTGACAATAGAGTAAAATAATACCTTTAAGCACTCGCCATGAAAAGCATGATTAGCCAATTTCCTAAGCTTAATCCATTTCTCACCTTCAGTCAAAACAATTCCATCTCCCAACAATTTCTTCAAGTAACCTGTAGTTCTTGTTTTTGTAAATGTACCTTCTTTATTCCAAAGTATTTCTTTAATCAAATCAGCCTCAGTCACAAGTATATGAGGCTGAGCACCAATCCAGTAAAGCAAATTATTCCCTGAGTCAATATTTTTATTACACATCAATTTATAAAAAAAAAAACCCATAAAAATATTTGTAAAAAAAAAAAATATTACCGTATAATTTGGTCCAAGAATAAAAGTGAGGCTGAATCCTAGGAAAGATGTCATGAGACAGCTCCATGGGTGTGTCACTGGTTTGGTTGTTGATTGTGATGATCTCTTTGGTGCTGCCATGGATGAACTTGTAAGAAGGACCTTTGATTCCTTGGGATTCCATCAACTGTTGAACTCGAAGTGGGGCCCACCATAGCTTCTGAAGGAAGATTATTACTATTATTAGCAGGACGAAGATTGCTAAAAGGGCAACCATGGCTATGGAAGATTGAAACGGTTTAGTTGATTATAAGGAAGAAAAATATTCTAAATATTCTGGCTGTGCTTTCCTTTTGTAACAATGGCTTTTTCTCTAAGCTCAAAGCTAGTGAGTGACGTAATCAATGGTGCTAGTGAGTGACGTAAGCAATGGCACTTCCAATTAGTAGGGGCTGGGGGTGGGAAAGTTGGATTTGTTCGATGCTACACCCGGTGAAAAACACCGGGTGTAGCATCGAAGGAACCAGAAATTTGGGAATAGAGATTCTTGAATTCATATCGGAATTAGTATCAATATCACTATCAGTATTACCATCAGTGTTGAGAGGATATTTTATACTCAATATATATCTTTTTACGAGAATTTTTGTATAATTTTATGGTGCTTATTTATTGGTGTATTGTATTTTAGGTATAATTTGAATATCCGGGAGTTTTAAGGATGAAACGAGCGAAAAAAAGTCAAAAAATGAGCAAAAACGGAAGAAAACAAATGGAAGCTGAAAATTGGCTTGTCGCCAACTGCAAAATTTGGTACTTAGGATCAGATAATTTGAGTATTCTCCTTGTAGGATCGACATCCAACTCTTACGAGTCCACTTTTACTACTTGTTTGCGATACGTGTACTTGCGTGTTAGGTACTTAGCCCAACAATTAGTATTAGTACAAGTATCACTATTAATATTCGTATTGATATTAGTATCAATATTGGTATTGATATTAATATTAGTATTAGTATCATTATCGATATCACAATTAATATCAGTATCAGTACAGTATTAATACCACAATCAATATCAGTATAAGTATCAGTATCAATATCAATATATGTATTTATATTTGTATCAGTATAAGTATTAATATTAATATTAGTATTAGTATGTGTGACAAGCTGGACCCAGTGATCATTGTCAATGAGATTGATTCAATTGACACAAATTTATTTTTTCCAACCACCGGACCATCCGTACAGGACAATTTACACATATTGAATGTAGTAGTTTGGGACACTAAATAAATCCACCTAACATAATTAATAGCACAATTAAGACCAGTGCCTAATGAAGTTTCTATTGCAATTAGAATAGGTGGGGACCTTTTCTTGCACACAAGAAAATATACCTCTAAATTATTCAAAATTCTGACTAATGACACTTACACCTCAACGGGTAAAATTTATTTTAGTCCCTGACATTTGCAGTCAAAATTAAATTCGTCCATGTGGTTTTAGTTGGGTTCAATGTAATCGTTGGAACATAATTTCACAGCTAAAATTCATTTTTTCTCCCAAAATCAACTTTATTTCTTTTCATGTCAAATTTGTTGCTACTCCATTCGTTTCGTTTTAATTGTCGTTTTTTAGCTTTGCGCGAAGATTAAGAATTTCATTAAATGTGTTTTGATTTTAGAAAAATATATTCTTTTAGACTAAAATAACCTTGACTTAGTTGAAAAAAAAAAGTATTTGAAAAAGTTAATAGGGGTACAAATTGGAAATTAAGTAATTAATGAAGTGTTTGAAGTTTAAAGTGACAGATAATATGGAACAGAAAAAATTCTCCAAAGGAACATATATCAAACTAATGTTGTTATAGTCTAATGTGGTAATTCACATACCGAGAATGCAGTGTTACTAAAACATATTTTTTTTAAGCAACAATGTTTTGTAATATTTCATTGTATGATTTTATTTAGTTTTGAAAAATGCTTTAGTAGAATAATCTTTAAATAATATATTTTTATTTGTATTTTAAGAAGAAATAATTTGTACTTTAGTAGTTAATTTATGTTTAAAGATTTGAAAAAATAATTTGCAACAAGAATTTGAAAAATAAAATAATATTTGTGTGTAATTTAGATATTGTTTGAATTAATGAGAGCAAATAAGTTTTAAGATCTTGAAATGTTATTAAATATAATTTTATGTTGTGGTGTTGAGCAAAAAAGGGCATTAGGGCTGAATTGCATTTTAGTCTCCTAGGTTTTCAAAGGGTAATCTGAGCATTTTGTGAAAAATGATTGATTTTGGCGGTGAAATTGAGTTTCAGGGATGATATTGAACAAAATAAAAAACACAGGGATGAATTTGATTTTGGCTGCAAAATTCAGGGACTAAAATAAATTTTACCCACACCTCAACAAATTAATACATTTACGATCAACCAAATTCTATTAATTTATCCTTGAGTCGGAATCGGAAAAATATATTATTTAAACGATGTTATTAATTTATCGAGTATATTAATTTATCCAGGTTCTAGTGTACGCTATTAAATTTCTAATAATTTTATTTTTTTTGTTTTTGTATATTGAACGTACATGTCTTGTAGTTGTAATAAAAAGATTTCTTCCCCCTGGCAATTAATAAAAATTTCATAAACACAAGCAAAAAAATGACAGAGCAAATTCATATTGTTTTACTTAGAAATATGTCTGAAGTTAGAACAATCATTCTTGTTTCTTCAACTACTCTGTTTCTCTACTTACTCTATGCTCTGATCAGATTCTTGAATAAGAAATGGCGGAATCCGATTCGATTACTATCGACGATGAGTTCACGAGGAGTCAAAGGTCCACCATACAAATTCCCACATGGAAACACCAAACAAATCTCTAACATGAGAATCCAATCCATGCCAAAACCAATCGATAATTTTAGTTGAGGTGCTCATTTGAACGAGCACCTCAACTAAAAATTTAAGCTGTTATTGAAATGTATTATTTAATAATAATATTTTCAATAAGCGATACCCTATTGTGACAATATTGAAACCTATCACAAAATGCTTACAAAGCTTACTTTAAGTGACAACATTTTGTATCTCGTCACTAATAGACTCTCAAATTGGCAACTTCCTCCCACAACCTTACTAAAAAAATTGAATCTTTGGTCACTTCTCATCAAACCCATAATCGGAACATGTTCTGCAGTAAGAAACCTTAAATATTTGTTCAAAGATTCAAACTTTGGTAGGTAAGTAAAATAAAATCTCAAATGCCAAATATTATTACACAACAACTCATAATGTAATTTTCCTATGTACAATGTGAAATAGTTTTAGTACTCACTCATTTTTTATCTGTCTACAATGGCTGCAGCAAGATCTTAACACCGTGCTGAGGCTGAGTCGTGAGTACTATGTAAGGCGAGTGGACGTAATTCGGCGACAGTGTGAACTTATACCGTTGAAGAATCATCGAAAGTGCTATCTTCGCCTCGTTACTAGCGAAGTTAAGGCCCACGCATATTCGAGGCCCGTAACCGAATCCGAGGAAGGCTGTCGCGTTGCCACCTGTCGCTTTAGCCAACCCTTCGGCAAATCTGTCCGGGTTGAAAAGCTGACAGTCTTGCCCCCATATATCGGGATTTCGGTGTAGGGACAGAGGTGGAATTACCAGATTTACATTAGCGGGAAATTCGTATTTTCCTAAACCGACTTTGCTGTCGGTTCTTCTTGTGATGGCAGTTACGGGACTATATAGTCGCAGTGTTTCGTATATTATCATGCTCATCTACATATTAGAGAGAAAAAAAATAAATTATTTGAAAATATTGAAAATGTAAGGTTATTAATATAAGCAAAAGAAACCCTTATAATGCATTTTTTTGTTTCACACAGACCCCTAAATGGTGAGGTTTTAGGGGTAGTTTGCTGAAAAAATTGCATTATAGGGTGCTTTGCTAATATTAATAAATAACACAGGGACTTTTTTGAACAATTAGAGTAAATACAGGGGTGCTGAGTGTAATAATCCATTTCACTTATATAAAGAAATTGGGGTTTATTGCATTTAACACCCAATTTTTTCTCTAATTGCTATAAAACTCACCTTGTTATTTAAATAGCAAAAAAAAACCATATGATTCATTTTTTTTCTAGCAAACCCACTCCTAAAAACTCACTATTTAGGGGGTTGTGTACTAAAAAATGCATTATAAGGGTTTTTTTGCTAATATCAATGATAAAGGGACTTTTTTAGCAATTCGATATAACACTGGGGGTACTAAATGCAATAAACTCAATGAAATTGCAATATTTTGGCATGATTTTGCTTACAGTCTTTAATCTTGAAATCCCTTCCGAAACCGGATTTTCTCGACCGAACAATTCGAGCACCTCGGTTCTCGCTCTCTCTTGCCAATCAGTGTTGATTGCGAGAAGAAGCACGGCCCACGATAGCAAGCTGTAAGTCGTTTCTTGCCCAGCAAAGTAGAAAGTCTTGCACTCGTCGATTATTTCCAATGCCGATATTCGATTCTTTTTATCAATACTGTGGTGAGCTTTTAAAAGTGATCCAAGAAAATCACTCCCAAAATCGTTCGATTTTCCTGTTTTGACTTCGTCTTGTCTCCTATTCACCATTTCCATGATTGAATCGTGAAGCGACTTCTCGATTTTGTCCGCTTCGATCTCATCCTTCGTTCTTGCAAATTTTCTGCAAATTAAACCAAGCAGCTTCAGATATCATATATGCGGAAAATTACACTTTTCGTCCCTCAAGTTTACCTCGATTTCACATTTGGTCCCCTTGTTCACAAGAAACAAATTTAGTCCCTCATTTTCAACAATTTAACACTTTCAGTAATTTCCGTCAATTTTCCGTTAGTAGTAACGGAATCAAGCATGTGTCAATTACTGTCTTAACTGACGGACTAACGATAAATTGACGGAAATGACAAAAAATGTTAAATTATTGAAACATGAAGGACTAAATTTATTTTTTTGTGAACAAGAGGACCAAATATGAAATCGAGGTAAATTTGAGGGACGAAAAAGTGCACTTTTCCCATAAGATATTACCACAACAATTTTAGCTGCTAAATTTGAACTAACATTCGCAAACAATCACAATCGAAAAAATGTAGAAAAATACAAGAAACGAACATACTGCAAGACGGCAAATCGGATCTTGTGAGAGTTTCTGGATGTTAAGACACCTAGCTTAGTCAGCATATCGAAGATCTTTCTACCTTCGACATAACTGCTCCCAAAAGCTGTTCTGGAAATCACTTCCGATGTAAGAAGCCGAAATTCGGAGCACACTTCGATCTCTTTGCCCTCGTGGCACTTAAATTTCTCCAGCATAGCTTCCACACTTGCAACCATTGATGGTAACATATCCTACCACAACCGATACAAAATCAAGAAACACGAACATATATATTACTATGGTTGGAAATTGGAACTGTTACAAACTAAATTCCCAATTTTGGAAACAATGGTTTTCATTCCGAATTCCGATTTTTTTTCTACTTTTCCAATTCTTTTTCGACTTTTTTTTAATTGGAATTGGAATATATATGAGATTCCGATTTCTGATCCAATTTTAGTTTCTGAAAATAATTCATAAAATTACACCTATAATATCAATATAATTGCCCATTTTAAATTATGGTAAATTACGAAATCTCCCTGAACTTAGACTAAATAACAAAAAACACCCCACCTATTCGTAATTACCAAAACCCCTAAGGTTTGTTTTCGTCTTACACCAACCCCTAATAGTGTAATTTTTCACGGATTTTGTTTTTGTCTTTTTAATCCAGGGAATAGACTTTACAAAATTTCAGAATTTTTTTTTTCACCTACTTAACATAAGGTATAATAGACTGTACACAATTTATGTTAAAAAACTCGATCAACAGCTCATCAAATGGGGATTTTTGTAAGAGGATTTTGGTTCTTACAGATAGGTGGAAGTATTTTTTATTATTTAACCTAAGTTCAAGGGGGTTTTCGTAATTTACTCTTCAAATTATAGGCTAACAAAAAATTGGAACTTTCGAATTTCACTAATTTCGATCCAAAAAATCCAGATTTGACAACCAGGGTTTTCATTTCAATTTCCAAAAGTTCGATTTCCAATTTTCTTTTCCCAAAAAAAAAAAACATTCATTTTCCCAAAAATGCTAATTTTAATCCGATTCGTCCGATTTCCACCGCAAGCTACGAATCGAACGAACAAAATTGACCATAGAGTACAAAATAATACCTTCAAGCACTCCCCATGAAAAGCATGATTAGCCAATTTCCTAAGCTTAATCCATTTCTCACCTTCTGTGAAAACAATTCCATCTCCCAATAATTTCTTCAAGTACCCTGTAATTCTAGTTTTTGTATATGTACCTTCTTTATTGCTAAATATTTCTTTAATCAAATCAGCCTCAGTCACAAGTATATGAGGCTGAGCACCAATCCAGTAAAGCAAATTATTCCCTGATTCAATATTTTTGTCACCCGTCAATTTAAAAAAGAACCCATAACAAAAATTGTAAAAAAAAAATAAAAATTATTTTAATTTTTAATTACCGTATAATTTGGTCCAAGAATACAAGTGAGGCTGAATCCTAGGAAAGATGTCATGAGATAGCTCCATGGGTGTATTACTGGTTTGATTCTTGATTGTGATGATCTCTTTGGTGCTGCCATGGATGAACTTGTAAGAAGGGCCTTTGATTCCTTGGGATTTCATTTGATGCTGGAATTGAAGTGGGGCCCACCATAGCTTGTGAAGAAAGATTATTATAACTATTAGGGGAAGTAGCAGCACGATTGCTAAGAGGGCAGCCATGGCTATGGAAGCTTGAAATGATTGGGTTGATAAGGAAGAGGAAGATATTTCTGTCTGTCTTTTTTGACTCTTTTTTGTAATGATTTTCTTCTGTCAAGTTAGTGACGTAATCAATGACACTTCCATTTAGTAAGTTAGTAGTGGTTAGGGGGTGGAAATTGGATTGGATATTCCGTATTTCTCAACGATTTCGATCTGAAAATTTTCGATTTTGAAATAATATTGTATAATTCCAAGTTCTAAAGTTTTGATTCTATTTTATTTTTTTGGTTTGTCTTACTTATTAAATTTTGGTTTCGATCCGAATTTGATTTTCGGAAATTTTGATTATTTTTTGAAAATTACACCTAAAATAGCAATACTATTATGTGTTTTGTTTTTGAATTGCGCCGATTCTGATCAGAATAATTTTCGATTTTGGCACAGTTTTCTTTTCATTCAAATTTATGAATTTCCGATTTTTTTTTGGAATATGATTGGAATTAGTTTTCCACTTCCAAAAAAATTGGAAATTTTCTGAAAATATTAATTCTGATCCGATTTCTCCGATTTTCACCAGAAGAATCTGAATTCCTTCGACTTTGGAAGGAGGATTTTTAGTTTTGGAAAAATGTTATCATTCCAAATTTCAAAATTTCTGATCTTCAATTGTTGAATTTTTTTTTTCAAATTTTTAATCAGAATTGGAATATATATATGAAATTTTTATTTCCGATTAGATTTTAATTTTCAAATATAATCCTGATAATGCAATTTTTTTCCTTAAACTTACATTTACAATATTGTGAACAAAAAAAGGGAATTCCTCCGAAATTTCTGATATTTGAACTATTTTCCATTCTAATCCCGAATATTATTTCCAAACAGATTGAAATTAATTTTCCACTTTAAGAAAAAAATCTACTTTTTTCAATACCACTAATTCCAAAAAATATACGAAATTAAAAAAATTCAATTTTTTTTTAGTTAATTGACTAACCACTGTATTAAATAACAAGTAATTTTAAAATTTTGTGTATATTGGACTTACATGTATTATAGTTGTAATAAAAAACATCCCTTCCTCCTTGCCATTAACAAAACATTCACAAACACAAAGCAAAAGAATTGACAAAACAAGTTCACATTTGTTTTACTAAGAAATATGTCCGAAGTTAGAACAATCATTCTTCTTTCTTCAACAACTCTGTTTCTCTACTTACTCCACACTCTGATCAGATTCTTGAATAAGATATGGCGGAATCCGATTCGATTACAAACGACGATGAGTTCACAAGGAGTCAAAGGTCCACCGTACAAATTCCCACATGGAAACACCAAAGAAATCTCTAATATGAGAATCCAATCCATGTCAAAACCAATCGATAATTTTTCGCACGACATATTTCCGAGGATCCAACCTCATGTCTACGCCTGGACAAAGGCCTACGGTATATATATATTCGAAATTTTCTGAATTTTTTTTTCGTCTTGATCGATCCTTTTCAGAATTTTAATTTTTTTTTTTGGACAGGGACAAAATTTGTTACATGGCATGGTTCTCAATGCCAGCTGTTCATTACGGAGCCGGAGATTATAAAAGAGGTACTAATGAACAGAGAAGGCGCTTTTCCGAAAATGGAAATGGAGGGTTACGCGAAGAAGCTGCTCGGCGAAGCACTTATTACGAACGAGGGCGAAAAGTGGGCGAAAATACGGAAACTAGCTAATCACACTTTCCATGCTGAGAGTCTCAAAGTAATTTTTTATTATTATTATTATTTTTTTAAATAATGATTATAATCGAGAAATTTTTAATTTAATTAATTTCCACGTGTAGAGCATGGTTCCGGAAATGAGTTACAGCGTGTCGAAAATGCTCGAAAAGTGGAAGAATTACGAAGGAATCGAAATTGATGTGTTTAAGGAATTTGGTCTGTTAACAACTGAGGTGATTTCCAGGACAGCCTTTGGAAGTAGTTATTTAGAAGGGAAACATATTTTTGAGATGGTGGCAAATTTAACTGCAATAACTGTAAGAAATGTATATAAAGTCAAAGTTCCTGGTATAAGGTAATTAATTATTAATTAGTTAATTAATTATACCATATTTCATAAATTTTCTAGTAAAATTATTGATGTTTCAAATATATAATTTTTTTTTTTTTTTGGTGGTAGCATGATATTGAAGTCGGACGATGAGATTGAAGCGGATAGACTCGAGAAGAAGATCAAGAGTTCGATTCTTGAAATTGCGAGGAAGAGGGGTGAATTAGTTGAGAATATTGGAAGTGATTATCTTGGGCAGCTTGTGAAAATTAGTAATGAATCCGATTTGAAGAAGAGGATTACGGTCGAACAAATGATCGATGAAATCAAGGCCGTTTATGGGGCGGGACATCTAACGACCACGAGCTTACTCGGGTGGTGCGTTTTCCTTCTAGCTTTAAATACGGAGTGGCAAGAGAAAGCAAGAGATGAGGTGAAACGAACTTTCGGTGACAATAAACCCGATTCCGATGGGATTGCAAGATTGAAAATAGTAAGTTTTATTACGAAAAATTGCAATTTTTAGTCCTCTAGTTGTCCTTATTTCAATTTTACACGCAATAATTATGCAAAATTAGCATTTTATGGTCATATTTCACTCGAACTTTGAATTTAAGTGGTTGTTTAATGATGTAGCTAGCTAACAAAATCGCCGAAATTTATTTATATGGACGCTTAAAAATTACAAGTACTCCTCTGACTTGGTTTATAAACTTGTCTCTCACATAATTAAAGTTCTCAGTTAGACGTCGAATTTATAATTTTTAACTTTCCATCATATATAAGTAAAATTCATCAAGATTACTTTTGCGCGTCATAAAATAAAAAAATTATGCAAAATAGAACCGAAAAAAATACTACATTTGCAAAGTTATACTGCATGTAAACTTTTGTATACTATTTTTCGTCGAATATGATGTAATAATTATCTTGTTAAATGTCCGTGCAGATGAACATGATAATCAACGAGTGTATGCGCTTGTACCCTCCGGTTCTTACCGTGACAAGGAAAGTCGCAAAGGAGGCTAAAATCGGAGAACTAATAATTCCTCCGAATATAAATATTTTCGTATCGATTCTTGCACTGCACCACAACCCTAAAATATGGGGAAAAGATGTTCATCTTTTCAGGCCGGAGAGATTCTCCGAGGGCGTTGCTAAAGCGACCAACAACAACGGTGCTGCCTTTCTGCCGTTTGGTTTAGGGCCGAGGACTTGTGTAGGTTTGAATTTCACAACCAATGAAGCGAAGATTGCGCTTACGATGATTCTGCAAAAGTACGAGTTTGTGTTGTCACCGAATTACGTGCATCACCCGACGGATGCTTTTATCCTTACTCCGAAAAACGGAGTCCAAGTCATCCTCAAAGGAATCTAATTAGAGGAAAAAGCATCTAAGTCTTGTGAATAAATGTTTCAAGATTATTTAAGTGTGTGATGTGTTTTGGTGATCAAAGTGTGGTTTAATTTGTGTGTAATGTGTTTTCTATATTTGTCAAGGTTGATGTAAATCAAATCAATGTTTGTTCTGCAATTTCCACTATTTTTATTGATTGTAGAAATTAAATGTTAAATGATGCTAAAGAATGGGGAATCTCAAGATTATTGTAAATTAAATCAATATTTGTTATGCAATTTGAATTATTTTTTCTTGGAATATGAATTAAATGGTAAATTATGCAAAGTGGAAGAATAGTGAAATCTTGGTGGTAATATCAATTTTTTTTAGATGCTGCACCCGGTGAAATACATCGAGTGATTATGCACCACTAATCTATATATAACAACACACACATCCATATGTAATTTGTATATATCAATGGTGCAAAATCAGCCCATACTTTTTATCAGGTGTAACATCGTATAAATCGTGATATCATTTGATGGATGGATTTTTTTTTGTCTAGCTAATTAAGGATCACCTCAAAATTTGGTAGCAAGTCACAATTGAAAGTGATCATTGGACTTAAAACAGATAAGTATACAGTCATCTAACAAATAAATATATTTTGGTGATGCTATTAAATTTAAAAAAAAAAATTATAAAATTAAAAGCAGACAGAACTTTCATTTTCTTGATTTGAACACATACCTAATTCTGATTTAATAATGAACTTTGAGATTTTATTTAAAAATCACTGACAGAAACTAGATGTGGTCCAGAAAAGTTTATTAGTAAATTAAACTGTCTAGTACAATTATTGCTAATTATTTTTCATTTATGCTAATTTTTAATCAATAATGGAGATCTAAATGACAAGATAATATCTTTCAGACAATAAGAAACTAAAATATTAATTAAACATTTAAACATCCTTAAAATCTTCAAAACTCATATAAGATTTCTGCTAACACTGTCATAAGTATAACTCATAATATCTTAATAGATGGCAATTATTGTAAAAATAATAATCCTGTTTTCCATCTCTCTCACCATTTATGCTCTGTTGTTAACTCTGGTTAAATTCCTTAACAAAGTATGGTTGAATCCGATTCGAATACAGAAAACGATGAGGTGTCAAGGTATCGAAGGCCCTCCGTACAAATTTCTTCACGGAAACACGAAAGAGATTATCGACATGAGAAAAGAAACCATGGGAAAATCCATGCACGATATATCGCATAACATATTCCCGAGAATTCTGCCTCATGTGCATTCGTGGGCTATTTTATACGGTAACTCGTTCTCTTACATCCTTGTTTTTTCATCGTTCTTACGAAAAAAATTTAATTTTTTTTTAAATGTTTTTGTTAATTTTTGGCATACAGGTGAAAACTTTCTAAACTGGTATGGACCACAAGCACAGCTGGTAGTGACGGAAGCAGAACTTGTTAAGGAAATATTAAACAATAAAGACGAAAATTACCCGAAAATAAATCTCGAAGGGCATGCGAAGAAGTTATTGGGAGATGGGCTTTCGTCATCGAAAGGCGAGAAGTGGGCGAACATGCGAAAACTCGCTAACCGTGTTTTCCATGCAGACAGCCTCAAAGTAAGACGAAGTTATAAATTATCGGTCTTTTTACAAGAAAAAGCGTGTAAGAAGTTTTTTTTTTCTTAAATAAATAATATGATGTTGCAGAATATGATACCGGAAATGATTACGAGTGTGGAGACGATGCTCGAGAAATGGAAAGAATATGAAGGGAAAGAGATTGAGGTGTTTGAAGAGTTTAGATTATTGACATCGGAAATCATTTCGAAGACGGCTTTTGGGAGTAGTTATTTGGAAGGGAAGAGTATTTTTGATATGCTGATGAAATTGGCATTCATTGTTTCAAGAAATGCTCACACAATTAAGCTACCTTTCATCAGGCATTCTCTCTCTCTCTCTCTCTCTCTCTCTCTCTCTCTCTCTCTCTCTCTCTCTCTCTCTCTCTCTCTCTCTCTCTCTCTCTCTCTCTCTCTCTCTCTCTCTCTCTCTCTCTCTCTCTCTCTCTCTCTCTCTCTCTCTCTCTCTCTCTCTCTCTCTCTCTCTCATTTTCTACATGACTCTTAAGGCTCTGTTTGGGTTCGTGAATTTTGAAATCGGGAAAATGAAAATGCTGAGAAGCAAATGAAAACAAAGAATTTGAAAAATCTATAGTGTACATATTCGGTTACTAAAGAAAATGGTGACGAAATTAATTTTGTGGGAAATTATTTTCTTTATCGAAGCGGACATATTTGTTGAGATTCTGATGTAGAGGTGAACTATTTCCGTAATTGGGTTGTTTTCTAGAACGGAGAAAAATAGGGATCGACAGAGATTAAGAAAAATGGCTAGTATATTCGCCATTTTACGCGTAGTATATTCGCCATTTTACTTGGTATTTTCTTTTGATCCAAACAGAGCCTTAGCTTGATTTTCTGGTGTTTTATTTCTTGCACAGTCGATTCTTGCCAAGCAAAGACGATTACGAATCGGAGAAACTCGAGCAAGGCATCCGTGATTGCATCGTTCGAATAATAGCAAAACGAGAAACGGAAGAAACTTCTAGAAACGATTTTCTTGGAAAACTCTTGGAAACTAATAATAATAATCAAAATAAAAACACGAAAATGTCGGTTGAAGACATAGTCGACGAATGCAAGACATTCTACTTTGCAGGCCACGAAACCACAACGTCATTGCTTGCATGGACCGTCCTCCTTCTAGCTATCAATCAAGAATGGCAAGACAAAGCAAGAAACGAGACGATCGAATCTTTCGGACAAACAACAAACCCTAATCCAGACAACATCTCAAGGCTTAAAATTGTAAGAAATATATTCTTTCAAAAATTCTAAATAAACCCAAAATTCATATTTTATTTTTTGGGGCAAAATTACGGCCACTCCCTGAGTTATGGTCAAATTACGAAACCCCCCCTTCTATTTGAGTAATTACAGCCACCCCTCAACTATGTATTATCTTACGAAAAACTCCCTTCAGAGGTAAACTTAGGGATGTTAAATCGGTAACACCGAACCGAAATTTCGGTACGCCAACATTTCATACCGTTTACCGAACCGAATATACGATTTGGTTCGTAAATTGGTCATACCTCAGCGGTGACCGTAATTTGCCCTATTTTTTTTTTTATTAATTATTATTTTTATTTTTATTTTTAATGCAGATGAATATGATAATAGAAGAGTCACTACGACTATACCCACCGGTGCCGGCAATTAAACGAAAAGTCGACAAGAAAGTTACGTTAGGAAAAATAACTCTGCCACCTCAAATGGAGTTGTACATTTCTCCATTGGCTCTACAACATGATCCAAACATATGGGGGGAAGATGTACATTTTTTCAGACCGGAGAGATTCGGACAAGGGATTGCTAAGGCGAGTAATGATAATACGGTGGCGTTTTTGCCTTTCGGATTCGGGCCAAGAACTTGTGTCGGGCTGAGCTTTGCGATAACCGAAGCGAAAATAGCGCTTTCGATGATTCTGCGGCGGTATAGGTTGATTGTTTCGCCGGGCTATATTCATTCGCCGGTTCAGGTTTTTATGATTCGTCCACAGCATGGGATTCAAGTTATTCTCGAGAAAATTTGATTATTATTATTATTATTATAACTTTATATTAAATTTTAAATTTAATGTGTGTAAAGTGGATAGTTAATTAGATATTAGTTTTGTTATGTAGATATATGAACGGTTGATTTTTCTCTCATTCACTGAATCAGAATGCTTAAATAACGCTTCAGATTCCAGGATTATTATTTGTTAAAAGAAAAAATTGTATCTAGGCACGATTAGGGATGAAAATCGGACGTACCAGATCAAAACTATCATTTTTGAGAAAAGTCTAAATTGTTTTTTGGAGTGAAAAACTAATTTCCATTCCGTAAAACAAATCGAAAAATCGGAAAATTAGAATGAAAAAACATGTTCCAAAATAAAAAATTCAGGATCGAAATTGGCAAAATTCAGAAAATTCCAAAAAATTTGTTACCTAAACTATAATTTGCATAATACATATAGTCCTAAATCCTAAAAAAAATAAAAAATGCATAATAAGTATTGATACTATATGTACTTTTTATTTTTTAAAAGAAAAAAAAAATCTGATTTTTCTAATTTCTAAGTTAATTTGGAAAATTAATTTTCATATATATTCCAATTTGAATAAAAAAGATTTCGAAAAAGTGGAAATTCAAAATTCATAGTGAAAATATTGTTCAAAAACTGAAATTTCAGATCGAAATCGACGAAAATCAAAAAAAAAAAAAGATAAACAAATTCCTCAACATATAAAAACTCTTCGGATTCCGCCTTTAGCCTCTATAAGTACATAAATAGAGCTTTGTCATATTACACATCTTTAACATACTATAATACACTACTGCGAAATATTACAACTTGATAATAATGGCTTCCGCCGGAGAAAATAGTGCAGCCAAAGCAAATGATGAGGCGAAGGGCGGCAGTGAAGCGCAATCAATAATCGAATATCTGCTCAGCGTGGTGGCGTTGGCGGATTTACCCGTGGAGGAAATATTAGAGTTTGTGGCCGGTTTCTCTCAACCATCGGAAAACGATCATCAAACCGCCGCCCCGGAGCTCCGCCACTCCCGCCGCAGCGGCGATAAGTAGTTTTTTTTTTTTTTTTTTTTTTTTATGATCTTTCATTTAATAGTGGTATTTCAAATGTCCATGTCACAAAACTATAAATTTAATTTTTATTATAATTCTAGTATATTTTATTTTCGAAATATTAATTATAGATCCAATTTTAAATATTTTGTTATTACTATTATTGCTTATTATATTTTATTAATATCAATTAGTGTATTAATTAAATAAAGAATGAATTAATCAGCATTGATACCAGAAAAATATACAAACTAATAAAAAATAAGCATATTTATATTTATTAAAATTAATGTTTTTATTAATAAAAGAAATGTATTTATATTTTAAAATTTAATTTAATAATTAACATCAATGTATTTAAAGTACTCAACTCATTATTGTATATGTAATATGTTAATTAATAAAATGGTACTAATTACACCAATCCTATTTTCTATATAATATAGTTGGGTTCAATTATATTACATATAGACCCTTTTATGTTCAAAATATTACATAAATCTCCTTTGAAATTTAATTTCGGTCAACGCTTAACCCTAATTTATTTGTAACATATATAAGCAAAAATCACAATTTATTTATTTATTTTGTACTGTATTATGAAAAAAGAAGGGTGATTGGTTATGATTTTTTCACGGTCGTAAATATAATTTTTGGAAACAATATAGGGATATTTTTATAATTTAATCTCAACTATAGAGTTTAGTTGTAATTAATTAATTTATTTTATCATCAATAAAAGAGTGAAAAGTCTTCATACATTATATATTCCACCTTTCATATAATATTCCAACCGCAGGCATCTCTATAAATTAGCATTCTCATCTCACAATCTTTCACACCCAAAAGAGAGTGTATCTCACGATACATAGAAATCAAGGAAAAAACTCAATAGTGCTAATATATCAAACTTTGTAGACGCTAAAAATGGCATCGGCCGATGGCGGTGGTGGAAACAGTTCGTCCGAAGCAAAGACGGGGGTCGTTGTTGTGACGGGGTGTCGGTGACGCTGACGGCGTGGGACATATCGAAGCTGTTCAACAATAAACCGGACGAGACGGGGCAAGGGAGTGGGGACATGCCGAGGATGGATTTAAAACAATCTCTGTCTGTCTATTTTCGCGAACAATGTGGCAAAAAAAATATATCTATGAATATATATATGCTCCTAGATATATATATATATATATATATATATATATATATATATATATATATATATATATATATATATATATATATCATTTTTTTTTTCTGTTGTGTTATGTGTGATCTTGCATTTTCTGGAGTTAATGAATGCTTTACTATTGTTTAATGTATTTTGATTATAATTAAAACCTGTATGTTTTCATCAGAATTATTTCGGAGAATAAGAGAATCTTCTTTGCCTGAGATCAAAATATACCATATGCTAAACAAATACTTGATTAATTCATTATTTTTAGGGTTAAATACACATTGCACCCCTGAAGTAGAAGTAGAACATGTATAACATTTACCCCTTAATATTTTTTTTGTAATACTTATAAGTTAATTGACCCCTTAAATATCATGTGTTTTGTATCTTAAATATTAAAATACTATAATTTCATTAATTAGTATATCGCCACTTTTATTTGATGGAATAACCGGGAAATTTTTTTGATTAAATTTGATCAATTCAAAAGTCAATGCAATAGTTTTTTAAATTTAAATTATAGCTTTCTTTCATAAGATAAGTAGCATAATAAAACTAATTATCATTGGATTATATAAATTTTAAAAGTAGATAACCTTAAATTATTGGTGGAAAAAAATTAAAAATAATATAAATGTTATGAGGGATAAGATATATTAAGAAATTAATGAATTATTTAGTAAATGATCAAGATTTCCAAAAATCCAATTTCTGATATTTTCAGAATTTTGGATTGTAATTCAAATTATATAAAAATAAAATATGGGGTAATGGCAAATAGGCCCATGACAAGGGCACTTAATTAAAATAGGGACATCCAACTTTTTTGTCTTTCAAATAAATCCACCCCATTCAAACTTATTTGCAAATAAGGAAAATCCCTTTATATATACCAAAATTACCCCCAATTCTTTTGAAACCCAATTTAACTCCAATTTCATGATTTACACCCCAATTTAGCCCAATTTCATCAATTAACCAATTTTAACCCAAATTTCAATTTTGACCCCAATTCTAACCCTAATTCGTATCAAATCCACCCATTATGCTCTAACTTCTTTAATATTACACATTGACCCCGGATTTTAACAAATATATCACATTAACCCCCAAAACTTTTTTTTTTTCAGAAAATAATTTTTTTTCTGAAATATTTTTTTTCCGGCCAGATTCCGGCGTTGACTTTTTTTTTTTTTTTTTAATTTTGTTTTCCTGAAAATTTTTTCCGGTCGGTCAACGGCCGTTGACCGCCGGGTTTCCGGCGTTGACTTTTTTTTTTTTTTTTTTTTTCTTAAAAAAAATATTTTAATTAATTTTACTGTCTTGGCTGCTAAATTACTGTCTCCGGCAGCTATTTAACTGTCGGAGACAGTAATTTAACTGTTAATTGACTGTTTTTTTTTTTTTTTTTTCTTCAAAAATATTTTAATTAATATTACTGTATTCGTTGCTAAATTACTGTCTCCAGCAGTTATTTAACTGTCGGAGACAGTAATTTAACTGTTAATTGAATTTTTTATTCTTAAAAAAATATTTTTAATTAATATTACTGTATTCGTTGCTAAATTACTGTCTCCAGCAGTTATTTAACTGTCGGAGACAGTAATTTAACTGTTAATTGACTTTTTTATTCTTAAAAAAAATATTTTTAATTAATATTACTGTATTCGTTGCTAAATTACTGTCTCCAGCAGTTATTTAACTGTCGGAGACAGTAATTTAACTGTTAATTGACTTTTTTTTTTTTTTAATTTTTTTCCTTAAAAAAAATTTATTTAAATTAATATTACTGTCTTGGATGTTAAATTACTATCTCCAACAGTAATTTAACTGTCTTAGACAATAATATTAATAATATTACTGTTCGGAAAAATAATATTCATAATATTACTGTCTCAAACAGTAATATTACTGTCTGAGACAGTAATTTAGTAGTCAAGACAGTAATATTAATTAAAATATTTTTTTTCTAAGAAAAAACAATTCAAAAAAGAAAAAAAAAAAAAAAAAAAAAGGTCAACGCCGGAAACCGGCGGTCAACGGTGGTTGACCGGCCGGAAAAAAAAAGCAGGAAAAAAAATTTTCAAAAAAAAAAAAAAAAAAAAAAAAGTCAACGCCGGAAACCGGCGGTCAACGCCGGAATCTTGCCGAAATCTGGCC